GCCCTGCGGTGTACCGACAACGCCCTGCACGCTGATTCCAAACAAGTGCTAAGGTCACTCTGTCTCTGTCGCACCGTCATGGGTGCGGGAGACGCAGAGACGAGTACACTGTAGGACTGTATTCGGAACCAGCCTGCTGACGTAGCGGCGGCCGAGCGACTCCTTATCACCGCCAGTGTGCCGTGCTCGGGCACACCCGCGGTTGACCCTCCGCACTGTCAGCACAGCTGTCGCCTCGGCCCGCCTCGTACCTCGCGACACGGCGCCGGGGCGGGGCGGGGTAGGGCGGCCGCCGTAGCCTTCTTCGCCTGGGCCTTACGTCCCCGAAAAACGGCGCCGGGGGGTGGCGCGTTTGGGCTGGGCAGGCGGCCCCCGTGGCTTTCTTCGTCCTCGCCAACGTCGCCAACAAGAAGTAGACCGGAATCGTTGGCTACGCGTTTGAAGGTCTCCGTCGAAGGTCCCCGTCGACGAAGGTCCCCGTCGACGAAGGTCCCCGTCGACGAAGGTCCCCGTCGACGAAGGTCCCCGTCGACGAAGGTCCCCGTCGACGAAGGTCCCCGTCAACGAAGGCCCCCGTCGACGAAGGTCCCGTCGACGAGGTCCCGTCGCGAAGGTCCCCGTCGAGAAGGTCCCCGCGACGAAGGTCCCCGTGGGAAAGGTCCCCGAGACGAAGGCCCCGTCGACGAGGTCCCCGTTCGACGAGGTCCCCGAAGTGACTTTCTCGTTGGCGAAGGTCCCCGTCACGCAGGCCCCCGTCGAAGGTCCGCTCGCAGCCCATCGGGTCCGACAGTTACATAAACGGTCGCGGGGCCCCCGCGGCTGCGGCGCTGTGATTGCCGCAGCCAGAAGTGACTTCTCTTCCGTTGCGACCTTTCCCGCACGGCAGGCGAGGGCGAGGCTGGCCAGAAGGAAGCGGACCGCCATTCGTTTCGTTTCCGGGCGGCTTTGGCTTTTTGCTTTTGGCTTTCGGCTTTTGACTTCAGGCTTTTGGCTTCGGTGACTGGCTTCGGTTTTGGCGGGGGGGGGCTCTCCGCTTCCTCTGGCCGAACTTAGCCGCGATTGGTCTTGGAGTAAGCTTCGGCTCGCGGCTTTCCCGCTTGGCTGCGAGGTTGGCTGGCCAGAGTTTGGCCGCCATTCGTTTCATTTGGCCTTTTGGCTTTTGGCTTCTAGCTTCTGGCTTCTGGCTTCTGGCTTCTTGGCTTTTGGCTTTTGGCTTTTGGCTTTTGGCTTCTGGCTTTTGACTGGGTGCGGTGTGCCGGCCTGCTGGTCGATGTAATTGGCAGCCCCGCCCGGCTTGGCCCGGCCTGCCCGCCGGTGCTGTCGGCATCTGAGGCTGCCTGCTCGTCAATCGGATGCGCACGGTGGCGCATTAAGTAGACATCTTCGAGCGTGGCAATCCGGGGTGGACGCGGTAGGATCTCTTCCGGAGGAACCCCGCCGTTCGGCCTCTTCACTCACGGCCGCTGGTCGCCGCCAGTACGGGCGCACGGCCAGCACCATCTGTGGACGAGGGGCGATCTCTGAGTCGTTCCAAGACGTTAAAACGACAAGGGGCATGGCCGTGGCCCGCCATCGCTGGCTTTGGCATGCCGCCATCTGTGGCCCTGGGAACCAGTTTACGGGCGAAGCGGCGATCAGACTTATTGTGGGATGGGCAGTGCGGCCCTCAGTCACTGCATTTGGACAGCCCATTTGTAGCTTGGGACACATTAGTGCGTGCGAGCGGCGATGACGAGACTCATTGCTCCTGGATTGGGCACCGACTTTTTTAGCTGCATACATGCCGAACTCGCATGGCGTCAGTCTGGTCCTTCCCTCGCGACGTAGTCGTACCGATCAGTGCGGCCGCGATAGAACGAGCGCCCGTCCCTTCTCCCTGGTCGGGCCACTGATTTGGCTGTGGCCGCCAAACGGGCGCTCGTGGCCATCAGCTGAAGCGCTGCTCGCCGCGGCGTCGTCTGGTCCTTCCCCGACGGTCGCTGGCGCGGCGTCCGACCGCCGTCCGTCGTGCCCTGGTGGCGTGGCGCCATGGTCGCCGTGGTGCGTGGCCGCCTGTGGCCGTCGTGGTCGCCGTGGCGGTCGTGTTCGCCGTGGTCGCCGTGTTCGCCGTGTTCGCCGTGTCGCCGTGGTCGCCGTGGTCGCCGTGGTCGCCGTGGTCGCCGTGGTCGCCGTGGTCGCGTGGCTCGCCGTGGCGGTCGTGTGCCGCCGGTGGCGCCGTGGTCCGCCGTGGCCGCGTCGTGGCCGCCGTGGCCGCCGTGGCCGCCGTGGCCGCCGTGGCCGCCGTGGCCGCCGTGGCCGCCGTGGCCGTCCGTGGCCGCCGTGGTCGCCGTGGTCGCCGTGGTCGCCGTGGTCGCCGTGGTGGTCGTGGTCGCCGTGGTCGCCGTGGCGGTCGTGGTCGCCGTGGCGGTCGTGGTCGCCGTGGCGGTCGTGGTCGCCGTGGCGGTCTCGGTCGCCGTGGTCGCTGTGGTGGTCGTGGTCGCCGTGGTCGCCGTGGCGGTCGAGCCTTCCGGCGATGACGGTGCAAACAGGAAGGGCCGACCACGTGGCCCCGTCCGGCCGGAGTAGTGCGCACGGTGCAGCGACGAAAGCTGTCGCCCTTCAGGCCCACCTTGGGCACGCGCGGCACCAGAAGCAGTGGCGGCAGCCGCTCGAGTCTGCGAATAACGATGACAGGTGTCCGTGTCCCTAGTCGGGTAGGAAAGGCCGATGGCGGCAAAACATAATCCACACGTGGCCGCGGCTGCCCTGGGCTAGCCTGGGTGGGTCTGGGGGGTCTGGCAGCATGGCAGGCGGCCTCGGGAACCGTTCGGGCCTTAACCCGGTCCGCGGTGCGTCCACGGCGTCCACGGCCTGTCTGGCTCCGAGTCGCCGGCCGGCCCAAAGACCCGGCAGGCCGGCCGACTGGCCGACATTATCCGAGACTAATGCGGGCTGCTTATACCTCTGGCTGTCAGACTGATGCCATGCTGCGCCGTCTCTCTCGCACCTACTCGGGACGCCCCGCGAGTGCGACAGAGACAGAGCGACGAAAGCACTGTCACCCTGCACTCATTATCCACGACGCGCGCTGCTGCCCGTCACCGCGGCACTGTAACGGGCGGCCAATGAGATGGAAATGCAGCAAAGCTCTACTCTACGGCCACCGGCGCCGCGACGCCCTACCGGCGGCCTACCGGGCCCTGCCGTCCTGGCTCTCATTGCAGTGGATGCTACTTTGCATCGACTGAACCATACAATAGATCGATTGGTGTGTCAAACGAGTGCTCCACTGAAGGAGTGTAATAAATCACTTCTCATGGAGATTCCTAACGGATTAGGTTGTGTCATCCCGATCCATCCTTGAGATATCACTAAGGACGATCCTATCCAAGGAATGGAATGACTGAAAATAAATCGTACCCACTGCTTAACGCAATTGAGCGTGTCCTCGGGGTCTGAAAGAAGGACAGAGCACTGTTTGGAGTCGACGTAACCCACCGTGATAGCCCCGCCGGCCGTCGTCGTGTTGCGATGGACGCTACCTACCAGTGGCGTGGTCTAGGCGACCCTCCCCGCTGGCGGCCGGGCTGCAGGCCTGCGCGCCACACTGAGCGCCACGTGCTTCCGTATTATCTGGGTCCTTGGTGCGTCCTTACGCAACAACAACAACAACAGAATGAGAAAAACAAGGCGATGCACGCGGCGCCCAGTTGTCGATTAGGGCACCCGTCGCCACCAGTGTCCTAGGACGATTTCCCAAAATAGTGCTGAAATGCTCGTCCCCTGCACTTCCTCGCACCTCTGCGGGACGTCCCGTGGTGCGAAAGAAGGGAGGGAAAGCACGGTGGAGCGCGTGCCGGCCGGATAGCCCGCCACCCCGGTCGTCGTGTTGCGATGGTTGCTCTCCTACCACTTTGGGCCCCCTGGTCTAGGGAGACGCACCCCGCGGCGACCTGAGCTGCAGGGCCTGCCCCCGCCACACTGAGCGCCACGGTTTTCCGTTTCGTCTCGGGCCCCCCTTGGCCCCCGGTCCGTGAACGAAACATGTACCAAAACCGGCTGAGGCGGCAAAATGCGAGACGCGGCGCCCAGTTGTCGCTAAGGGCAACCCCCGTGTGCCCCACGGGGTTGCCTCCGCAGAACTCCATTTTCACACTCTTTTGGCCCTGTTGTGCTCTGCTCCCTCGCAGTTCCCTCCACCTCTTCGGGGCCCCGGGGTGCGGGGGCTCCGGGGATAGCACCCCCGGCTCCCGGACAAACCTGCCAGCTCAATCCCGGTGCTCCCTCGCTGATTAGAAGTCGTTGGCCTCTCTCTCGCCCCTTTACAGTATACGCCCCACGAGTGCGAGGGAGACAGGAGTCGCCGTTCGCAATCGGTGTGCTGCGTCACCGCGCCCCGCCCCGGGGTCGCTGGAGCGCGTTGATGAGAGAGGGGCGGCCCGGGCGTCGCTATGCCCTATTCGCACGTGGCACCAGCCTTTTCCTCCCACCGCGGCACAGTGGGCCAGAAGACCGGTGGAGGCGGTCAAAACTCCTGACGCGTTTTGAGCTCCAGCCAGAGTTGCTAAATGGGACTCGAACCGACCGTGTGACCCCACCAATGGATTGCTCTCCGGACGAGGAATCCATTAGTGGGGTCACACGTTTGGTTCGAGTCCTGTTTAGCGACTCTGGAGCTCAAAACGCGTCTAGAATTTTGACCGCCTCCACCAGTCTTCTGGCCCACTGTGCGTCGCTATGCCCTATTCGCACGTGGCAGCAGCCTTTCCCTCTCCCCGCCGAGCGATTCCCAAGAGTCGTGTCGTCGCTCTGTCTCTCTCGCACCCCTGCGGGACGCCCCCTGGGTGCGGCAGAGACGGGGCGGCGAATAGCCTGCTTCGGAAGCAGCCCGCTGAAGGGCGCTCTGCTATAAATGGGCGCTTTGCGGCGCGTGGCTGTGCTCACGGGTGTTCGCGGGGATACTGTGGAGCTTGTTTGTGTTTCTTTGCATTTTGTGACGTGAATGTCGAAATGTGTTGCAGACGAGGCCGAAGAGAATGGAGCTGGACAGCGCTCTGGAGCAGCTGGGCCACTGGGGGAAGTTCCAGCTCATCAGCTATGGCCTGCTGTGCGTGCCCATCGTGTTCCACGCCGTGTTCTACCTCACCTACGTGTTCACGGCCATGGACGTGGAGCACCGGTGCCTCATCCCGGGCTGCGAGGACCCGCTGCAGACAGAGTTCCGGCCGGCGTGGCTCACTGACGCCGTGGTGCCGTTCGACAACGACCGCCCCGTCGGCTGCTACCGGTACAAGACCGCGCCCGGCGCCGTGCTGCCCGACAACAAGTCGTGCATCGCCTCCATGTTCACCGCGGAGGAGGAGGCGTGCACGGAGTGGGTGTACCCCAAGCCGGAGGTGTCCATCAAGAGCGAGGTAAGCGTGCTTTTTTTGGCCAGGCGCGGGTTCAGTAGGGGCAAGTTGGGGAAGAAACGTACAGGGAAAGGTGCATCTTGACTTGGAATCTTAACTCGACCAGTTATTTTAACTGCAGATGCAAATCGGACTGTGGAATCATTGTTCAGTGGATGTCCAGATGTCTGCGGTAGGCCACCGGGGGAGGGGGGGGGGTCTTTTTCTCTTACCCTGTGCTTTTTTTCCCGTTCAGTGTTAAGTCCCTTGGAAACCGACACAGATTTCGCTGTTTCCCTTAAAAACCGATGGGCCTCTTCCGCGCGTGTCCTCGTGTGGGACTTGGGGCTTGGTGGGACTGCGCGGCGCATGGCTGCGTCACGCCCGGCTCCTTCCTGCAACGCGAGACCGCGGATGCCTGCAGACTGATTCCGAGAATCGTTTTCGTCGATCTGTCTCTCTCGCACAAAATAGGGGACGGCCCATGAGTGCGAGAGAGACAGACCCTGACCCCTTCCGCCCTTTCCTCTTTGCAGTGGAACATGACCTGCGACGACAGCGACTGGAAGCTGACGATGGTGGGCACCATGAACAACGTGGGCCGCTTCTTCGGCATGCCCATCGCCGGCTTCGTGTCGGACCGCTACGGCCGGCGCACCATCCTGCTGGCCGGGCTGCTGCTGGCCGGCATCATGGGCATGCTGCGCTCGTACGCCCCCAACTACATCTTCTTCCTCGCCTTCGAGTTCCTCGACCCGCTTTTCAACGCGGGGCTGTACAGCGCCTCCTTCATCCTGGGTAAGCGTGCGGCGTGTTGTTGTTGAGGTTGCCGTCGAAGCCGTGGCAGCTTCTTGTTGTTGTTGAGGTTGCCGTCGAGGCCATGGCAGTTTCATGTTGTTGTTGAGGTTGCCGTCGAGGCCATGGCAGTTTCATGTTGTTGTTGAGGTTGCCGTCGAGGCCGTGGCAGCTTCTTGTTGTTGTTGAGGTTGCCGTCGAGGCCGTGGCACCTTCCTGTTGTTTGAGGTTGCCGTCGAGGCCGTGGCACCTTCTTGTTGTTGTTGAGGTTGCCGTCGAGGCCGTGGCACCTTCCTGTTGTTTGAGGTTGCCGTCGAGGCCGTGGCACCTTCTTGTTGTTGTTGAGGTTGCCGTCGAGGCCGTGGCACCTTCCTGTTGTTGTTGTTGTTGAGGTCGTGGCACCCCCTTGACTTTGACGGTCTTGTCCGCAGGCATGGAGCTGATGGGCCCGCAGAAGCGCGTGCTGTGGAGCGCCTTCACGCACTCCGTGTACGCCGTGGGCGAGGCCGTGCTGGGCGGCGTGGCCTGGGCGCTGCAGGACTGGCGGTGGATCCTCAGGGCCTTCTACGGGCCGGCCGTGCTGTCCATCGCCGTGCTCTGGTGGGTACACTGCGAGGCCATACACTGGACGGTGGGCCAGAAGACCGGTGGAGGCGGCCAAAATTCTAGAGGCGTTTCGAGCTCCTGAGTCGCGCGTAAGGCGGAACTCGAACCAAGCGCGTCCAATGGATTCCTCGTTCGGAGATCAATTCAATTTTGGGATCATACGTTCGATTGGAGCTCACGTCTAGAATTTTGGCCACCTCCACCGGTCTTCTAGGCCACTGCACTGTACGTGTCGACCATACTTGTATTGCAATCCAGTCGGGGGAAGCAAACTCCGAGTCGAAGTAAAACAAACTTTTATTTCTGTGGACAGTTTTGCTAAAGGAGCATTAGGTTCACTTGTCGAGTGACTCAGAAGATCGGTTTGTCGCTGTCGCTGTCTCCCTCGCTCCCTTATGGAGAGCCCCATGAGCGTGATAGAGACAGAGTGACGAAACGACTCTTCGGAATCGCTCGGCAGTGGCAATAGGGTTGCCAACCTCAGTTTGCCTACTGGGCAGTGCTCTCGGCGAGTTGCCCTGGTAGTCAGGCTGAGGTTGGTGGTAACCTTTCCGACACTGGTGCATCGCGTCAAGTGTTATCTCCTGGGGGCGGCATTCGGACGCGCATCCCATAGCTGCCCAGCATCATCGCCGTCCTCTCCATTCAAAGAGAGTTACTGCCGTGCATGGCCCTTTAGCCACAGTTAGTGGGAATACGACAGCAGCGGCCCAGGGCACGCTCGGGCTGATACTGGAGAATGGGTAGCGTGGCGAGCGTGGCGGCCACTGGTTGTGTCAACAACGTCACGCGCTGGTCTGGTCTGGGCGGGCCTCGTCAGCCTCGCGAGCCAATTCATTAGCTAGAGAGCTCGGCCCTGCCGGCCCTGCCCTGCCCTAGGCCACCCCTCCCCCTCCCCCGCCCCTACAACGAGCTCGTCTCGGCCTTGCTTTGTCTTGTCGGCCCGCGGCGAGCTCTCTGTGCCATCTCATGATGTTGTCAAGATTTTGGCCTGAAAAAGCTCAACTAAACGGGACGAGTCGTAGAAAGGAAAAGTATGGTGGATCGGATCTTCGGGCAGGGACCAGCGGGCTGATGCCGCACACAGTGCGCCAGAAGACCGGTGGAGGTGGCCAAAACTCTAGACGCGTTTTGAGCTCCAGAGTCGCTAAACAGGACTCGAACCGAGCGTGGCATCCCACCAATCGATTGCTCTCCTAACGAGGTATCCATTGGTGGGGTCACTCGTTCGGTTCGAGTCCCATTTAGCGACTCTGGAGCTCGAAACGCGTCTGGAGTTTTGGCCGCCTCCACCGGTCTTCTGGCCCACTGTGCCGCACAGCGTTTCGTCGCTCTCTCTAGAAACTGAAGAGAGTGCATGGCATGCTCCTCCTAGGAGTCAACCACAAAGCACACTCTTACCAAGAGCATGCTTGCAAGCACACTCTTCCCAGGAGCATGCTTGGCAAGCACACTCTTCCCAGGAGCATGCTTGCAAGCAAGGAGAGTAGTGGCCGGTGTTAGTCCAACAAAAAGGCCGGACCCTGCACTTTTTCCGCATGCAATGCCGCTTTGCACATCGATAGTTAAGGCCAAAAGAAACGTTTTGACCCGCAGACGCATTTTTTTTATCCCTTAGGAAAAAAGTTATGAAGGGTTAAATTTAACATGGCGCCTTACGGGAATTTCGGGTAGGCAACCCGCAGCGCACGGCGGTGGTTTCCACGTCGCGGCCGCGAGTTTTGGCCCAAAAGTGGGACTTCCAGTTGGAATTTCCGAACCAAATTTTCAGGGTTGCTTAAGAAGGGTTCAAAGATCATGTTGCCGTCGAGCACTTGCCAAAATTGTGACTGAGGCCGATTCTGCGAGGCCTCAAAGTCCAAATTTCGGGAAATTTAACAAGGTGGTGTTCAAAGCCGTCCAAATCCTTAACGGTGCGCAGAACAAGTTGCGTCTTCGGCGGGATCAATAAAGTGGAGTGTCCTGAACACGCTCCAGGTGGTCGATTTTTCAAATTTGACCTGGAGTTTGAGATAATCGAATTTTTTGGGGACATTGCAGCTCGGCCGGCGAGCCGCGGCGGTACCAGATTAGCACGCACAGGGGTTTTTGACGATACATGTTGCAAAAATGAAGCGCGCTAGACTCTTTTCACGGAGTGCTCCGCAAACTATGCCACAACCACAACCAAATGCCAAATTTTGAACCAGATAGGGGCCGGGGAACGTCCCTAAATGAGGACGGGAAAACGGCTCCGGACGCCGAAATGACAGACTTATGCCGCAGTGCTCGGCGAGCGGGGCGTAAGGGCACGTTTTTGGAGAATAATTGTGCGTTATAGAAGCAAGGTAGACTCTTTCCGCGCAGTACTCCGTAAACTATGCCACAATTACAAGCAAATGTCAAATTTTGAGCCCGGCAGGGGCCGGGAAACGTCCCTAAATGTGGGCGGGAAAACGACTCGGGACGCCGAAATGACAAACTTTCGCCGCAATGCTCGGCGCGGCATGCGGGCACCTTTGTTGGCGAATGATCTTGCGTTACCGAAGCAGGCTAGACTCTTTCAGCCCAGTACGCGGTAAAATAGTATGCCACACTCAAAACCAATTTTCAAATTTTGAGCACGGCAGGGGCCGGGGAACGTCCCTAAATGAGGGCAGGAAAAAAGCGGGTGGCGGTGGCGCGCCTGTCCAAGTTCATTTGCCCACCATCCCACCTCACCGCCGAACAACAACATCGAGTTTGAAAAACAACAAAACACGTTTGAAAAGCGCCTTTAAAATGCTTCAGCAGCTGTTTTCCACCCCCTCATTTGGGGATGTTCCCCCGGGCTGGCTCAAAATTTGACATTTGGGCATTGCGGCATTTGAGCATTGCGGCAAAAGTTTGTCATTTCGGCGTCCCGAGTCGTTTTCCCGCCCACATTTAGGGACGTTTCCCGGCCCCTGCCGGGCTCAAAATTTGACATTTGCTTGTAATTGTGGCATAGTTTACGGAGTACTGCGCGGAAAGAGTCTACCTTGCTTCTATAACGCACAATTATTCTCCAAAAACGTGCCCTTACGCCCCGCTCGCCGAGCACTGCGGCATAAGTCTGTCATTTCGGCGTCCGGAGCCGTTTTCCCGTCCTCATTTAGGGACGTTCCCCGGCCCCTATCTGGTTCAAAATTTGGCATTTGGTTGTGGTTGTGGCATAGTTTGCGGAGCACTCCGTGAAAAGAGTCTAGCGCGCTTCATTTTTGCAACATGTATCGTCAAAAACCCCTGTGCGTGCTAATCTGGTACCGCCGCGGCTCGCCGGCCGAGCTGCAATGTCCCCAAAAAATTCGATTATCTCAAACTCCAGGTCAAATTTGAAAAATCGACCACCTGGAGCGTGTTCAGGACACTCCACTTTATTGATCCCGCCGAAGACGCAACTTGTTTTGCGCACCGTTAAGGATTTGGACGGCTTTGAACACCACCTTGTTAAATTTCCCGAAATTTGGACTTTGAGGCCTCGCAGAATCGGCCTCGGTCACAATTTTGGCAAGTGCTCGACGGCAACATGATCTTTGAACCCTTCTTAAGCAACCCTGAAAATTTGGTTCGGAAATTCCAACTGGAAGTCCCACTTTTGGGCCAAAACTCGCGGCCGCGACGTGGAAACCACCGCCGTGCGCTGCGGGTTGCCTACCCGAAATTCCCGTAAGGCGCCATGTTAAATTTAACCCTTCATAACTTTTTTCCTAAGGGATAAAAAAAATGCGTCTGCGGGTCAAAACGTTTCTTTTGGCCTTAACTATCGATGTGCAAAGCGGCATTGCATGCGGAAAAAGTGCAGGGTCATTTGACTAACACCGGCCACTAGAGTGCTTGAAAGCATGCTCCTGGGAAGAGTGTGCTTGCAAGCATGCTCTTGGGAAGAGTGTGCTTGCAAGCATGCTCTTGGGAAGAGTGTGCTTGCAAGCATGCTCTTGGGAAGAGTGTGCTTTGTGGTTGACTCCTAGGAGGAGCATGCCATGCACTCTCTTCAGTTTCTAGAGCTGTCTCTCTCCCACCCACAGGCAACGCCCCGTGGGTGCGAGAGAGACGGAGCGCGGAAACCGAGGGAGGGCGTGGCCGTGTGGTCCTGCCGGGACGCTGCGCCCTGCGCCTTGCGCCCAGACACGCGCAATCTTATCTGACGAGAGTATTTGCGTGACGAGTTTCCCCGACACCGTTTGCGGCCTTCTGCCATTATTATTCAAACGCGCAGTTGGCGCTGTGTGTTATGTCGCCGCCAGTACACTAGTGGAGTTGCCAGAAGACCGGTGAGGTGGCCAAAATTCTAGACGCTAAACAGGACTCGAACCGAGCGAGTGACCCCACCAATGGATTCCTCGTTCGGAGAGCAATCCATTGGTGGGGTCACACGTTCGGTTTGAGCCCCATTACACGACTCCGGAGGTCAAAACGCGTCTTGACTTGTGTCTGCCTCCGCCGGTCTTCTGGCCCACTGTGCAGCTCGCCAGCTCGCTGTCTCTGACGGCCTCTTTGCTTGTTTGTTCGGCAGGATCCTTCCGGAGTCCGTGCGATGGCTGTGCTCCAAGGGCCGCACCAAGGAGGCGCGCGCCATCATCCGCCGCGCCGCCGTCATGAACAAGATGCCCACCAAGCAGATGGACCTGGAGGAGATGCAGGCCAGCATCGCGGAGGAGGTAATGCAGTGCCCCGCCACGCCGCACAGGGCGCCAGAGGACCGGTGGAGGCAGTCAAAATACTGCACGCGTTTCCAGCAATAGGACTCAAATCGAACGTGTGACCCCACTAATGGATTGCTCTCCGAATGAGGAATCCATTGGTGGGGTCACACGCTTGGTTCGAGTCCTCTTTAGCGACTTTGATGTTCAATTCGATTTTGAAAATAGCTGCTTTGCACGTGACCAGACTAGATCAGCCCCATCCGGCCATCCCTCCTCAGCCGGTCGGCGACGAGACTAACCTCTCCTGTCTCTACTTGCAGGCCAAGGCCAAGAAAGCGTTCAAGGACGACTACAAAGAGGACACGCCCTCCACGTACTGGGCCCTGAAGGAGACGTTCAAGTCCAAGATTCTGCTGGTCCGTCTGCTGACGTGCTCCTTCTGCTGGATGACCAACACGTTCGTGTACTACGGGCTGTCGCTCAACTCGGTGGCCGTGGCGGGCAACCTGTACCTCAACTTCATGCTGGTGTGCTTGGTGGAGGTGCCGGCCGGGCTCGTCACGTGGCTGCTCATGGAGCGGGTGGGCCGGCGCGCCTCCATGTGCTCCTCGCTCGTGCTCACCGGCGTGGCCTGCGTCGCCTTCATCTTCATTCCGGACTCTGGCGGTAAGTACGAGGGCCCCTCCTGCAGCCCTCACCGCCAGCGGGCCGATTCCGAGAGTCGTTTGCGTCGCTCTGTCCCTCTCGTACCTGCACGGCACGCTCCACGAATGGGAGAGAGACCGAGCGACGAAAACGACTCTCGGAATCAGTCTGCAGGGAACACTGGTAGAACTCAAGCGTACTTTTACGCCTTTCTTCAAGCGTAGTAGAACTACGCTCGGCTTCAAGCGTAGTTCTCCATTTCACCCCTCTCCCGCCTATCTAAATGCATGGGAGGATTTCTTCTCTACGCTTGACGTCAGGCGTAAAGTCTTCAAGCGCAGTTGTATGCTTGAATGAAGCATACAACTACGCTCCAGTTTTACCAGTGAAGCGAGGCTTGGACGTCCCTGTTCGTGGCCACAACGCAATAACTCTACGAAAGCGCTGTCGTGCCCGTTTGGGGCGCATCCGCCTCTTGGGTCCTCTACAAATCAAAGAGTGTACATGGTACGCTCTAACTGGAGCATGCCTGCAAGCACGCTCTAACTAGCGCATGCCTGCCAAGCATGCACTAACTAGTGCATACATGCCAGGTACACGCTAACTGAAGCATACATTTACTGCATAAGGGATAGGTAGTTTTCTGCAATCAGGAAGCGTGTACATGGCATGTATGCACTAGTTAGTGCATGCTTGGCAGGCATGCGCTAGCTAGAGCGTGCTTGCAGGCATGCTCCAGTTAGAGCGTACCATGTACACTCTTTGATTTGTAGAGTCGGAGGCCTGTAGCGCCTGCGAGGTAGACCACGGATCCGCCCCGCAACACACCGCTGTGGAGACGGTGGCCTACCTCACCCCTGTCAGGGGCGACATAGGCCACCGTCTCCACAGCGGTGTGTTGCGGGACGGAACCTTGGCCTACCTCGCAGGCGCTCGAGGCTTCCTCCAACTCAGCCGTCGGAAAGTGCGAATGGCTGGCAGTCTGCTCGTTTGTAGAAGTGTTGCGTGGCCGACACTTTGTAGAAGCCCCAGACAGGGACGTGAGGCTCTGCCGTGGCTTTGCCCTGGCTTTGCCTACCCGGCAGGCACCTCAAGCGCCCTGCCGCCCTGCCGCCCCGCGCGCTGCACTGCTCGGAATGCCCAATGACGTTGCTGCCATGTTCATGTTTGTTGTTGCAGGACTGGTGTGGGTGCGCATCGCCACGTACTTGGTGGGCAAGTTCGGCATCACGGTGTCCTACACTGTGCTGTACGTGCTGACGGCCGAGCTGTTCCCCACCAACGTGCGCCACTCGCTGTTCGCCCTGTGCTCCATGATCGGCCGCCTGGGCTCCGTCATCGCGCCGCAGACCAGGCTCCTCGTGAGTAGAGCAGCGTTTTTAATTTTCACCCAAAATGGCTGCGTGTCGCCGGTCGTCCTGACGGTGTGGTTGTCCTTGCCGCAGGCGCGCCTCATGGAGTCCCTGCCCATGATCCTGTTCGGCTCCATGTCGCTGGCCAGCGGGCTGCTGGCGCTCGTGTTCCCGGAGACGCACAACACCAAGCTGCCGGACAACATCGAGGAGGCCGAGAACATCGGCAAGCCCGCCAAGAAGGGCGACGCGCCGGCGGCCAACGGCGGCAGCGGCGGCCTGGCGGGCGTGGTGGTGGACGACCTCAAGGGCGGCGACAGGGTCCCCGCGCCCGTCAAGAAGACCTCGGTGGCGGCGAGGCCGACCAGGACCTCGGTGACCGCCAGGAACAAGAAGACGTCCGTGTGCAGCCTCGGCTCCGTGCAGGTCACGGTGCCGGAGAAGAGCAGCTCGCCGACGCCGGCCTCGTCACCCACGAGCCCCACCAGCCCCGAGGCCGCCCCGCCAACCCCCTCGGCCGAGCCCGAGACAGTGACTGTGCACCTGTAAAGAACTTGCCAATACCTGCAAGCGAATTATCGTTGTACATTCGTGTGATTTTGACAACGTGGCAGCCAGTTGTCGTTGTGACGCCATATGTTTGTTACTCAGCAGCGAACGCCATGAGTTTATTTTTTTAAAAATCAAGTGCTTCCTAGAAGACTCTTGTGTATTTTTTTTAAGACGGGCCTCTGGAACTGTTTCTATTACTTACGGCTCACTTACTCAGAAGACGTAACAGTTTTGCGTGAGAGTGTGAGCGCTGGTTGAGTTAACATTGACAAGCTTTATTGCCTTCTTTGAGTATTTATTGACCAAGCAATAACCTTCCCAGTCCTCATTGGACTAATATGATCCATGTACATTTGTGGCTTGAATGTCACTTTGTTTCAAGTGGCAGCCACTGGCACTGATGTATTTCACCATTATTTCAAACAATTTTGTAAAGTTTTGCTCAAGTGTCTTGGATGCTTATCATTTTAATAGAAGTGTTTCTGTGATTATTTGATGATGCATCATCCTGTGTGCAGATGCATGAAAGTTTGCATGAGTGTGAATGTGACTTCCTCTTCTTTCTGTCGAGTTTTTGAAGAGTAATTTTTTCCTGTGTGAGTGGAAACTTGGGGCAGGGCAAAAGCCCAAATCCAAGGTGACAACGTAGGTATCCTCGAGTGATTTGTTCTCAGGGAGCCTTTCATGGGAAGGCCCGGCGGCATAAGGAACAGTATTGTTAATTCTGATGTTGCTTATGCGTTTTTGGATAATCTTTCTGACATTCCTGACATGTATGTTATAGAGCTCAGACCCATGTGATATTTGTATATTTATTTTTTTGTCATGTAATGAATCTGCTGTGTGTGTACTTATGCATATTACTAAAAATATTTTTTAATGAAGTTTTAAGCTTGTGTGCTCTTTGTTCTTTATTTGGTGCTTTCGTTCCCAATTACCAACACCCCACTATCCAAGAAGGGCTCAAGTCCCTTTGAAACCTAATGGTCGTTCCCCCTCTCATTCTAGCATGCACCACAGGAGCAAGATAAATTACTTCAAATGTTTCATGAATAAATGCCTCTTATTTCACAGAAACAAAACATGGAATACAGTTTCAACACAAGAGTGGAACATTTTCAAGGAATGCTTCCATAAACAATTGAAAGTAAAAGATAACAATCTTGTTACACAGTAACTATCTAAGTACACACGTTTCCCTTACATTCATACATTCAGAACACAATATCAATTAAGAAGTATTCTCATACTTTACTCACTATTACGACAGTACACATTCAATTTTAATTAAAAAGAAAATATTTGTTTAGAGCCAACAAAACAGTTGCACCGTTATGAAAACTTCTCACTCACTACTCGAAATCAAAATAATGTCAATGGAGGAACAATGATTGTCATGATAGTCAGTTTTATGGATTGCATTACTGTAAAGATTCTTTGAGAAAACACAATGGGGAGATCTGAAGGATGCACTATTTGCCACAAAATTCAAATGGCTTTCAAAGTAACATGTCAAATTATGTCAACAAAATCATAAGAACTCTAGAACTCAAATTCAAAGGGTAGTACAAAACTGAGTCACCTTCAAAGCGACACACTGATCTCGTTCACCAAATGTGCGTATTTATTACCGAACAAAAATTAGCTTCGTGACAACTTAAATGGCTCAAGCAAAACTGTGTTAGTTGGCCGCTGAAAAAAGTTTGTGCAATTAGAGAAAAATACAAATAAAGAAAGGTGATGAGGTGAAACAGGCGTGCGTTCCCTTGACCGCTGGTCTGAGCCACCACTTCACTTCCAAAAGATGTGCCCAAACGCGGACTGAGGGTATGGGAAGCGGAGGGAGGAAGTCCTGGGTTCGATTCCCAGGTGAGCGAATCTTTTCCTCTGTTTACGTATGTACCATCACTCTAAGATTGATCGGGTTAGCTCGCAGTGGCAGGATGGCCGAGAGGGCAGAGGAGTCGGCCGGCGGGAGGAAGTCTTGGGTTCGACTCCCAGGTGAGCGAAATCTTTTCCTCTGTTTACTTCTCAAACCCGGTACCATCACTCTAAGATAGGACGTGTCAGGCAGGTGTGTTGTCGTAGCTCAGGTGGCAGAGCGATGGGCCGTGGAGGCTGGTTGGAGGCCATGCGGCAGCACACGATTCCCGTCGTACCTGGTTCGCCACCAGCCAGGTCAGGTTGCTAACCCTTTATGATTGCCCTACTCCACCCTCCTTCGGGGAGGGGGGGTAGGGGGGGAGGGGCCGACGGCGGGAACTCTTTTGCATCTTAGAGATGGAAGTTAACCGTGTACATACATGCCGCGCCACCAAGGTAGGCCCACCTACGACACGCAGGGGTCGGGTTGGGGCCGAAGGCGCAGGTACTCTTTTGTACCTTAATGGGGAAAGCCAGGATTGTCGTCGGGCCGCGCCGACAAGGTAGGCCACCCATTCGACACGCTGCTGCAAAAGCGCTGCGATGAAAAACAGAAGCCATACCTAGCCGGGACTTGAACCCGCGTACCTCTAACCACAGTCGACACTCCAACACACTGAGCCACCAAGGCGCCGATTGATAGAAGTTTGTCCAAACTTAGAGTGATGGTACCGCATTCAAGCAGTCAACTGAGGAAAATATTCCTGCACCTGGGATTCGAATCCGAGTGCTCTCTCGGAGCAACCACTTCCTCTGCGCTCTCAGCCACTTTTTATTGTAAAATTTGTTTTATTCAAAGTTCAACTGAGGAAAACGTTTCCACGCCTGGGATTTGAACCAGTTTCCCCTCTCCGGGCGGCCGCTACCTCTGCGGCCTGACCCACCAAACGACACAGTCCTTCCTCGCTCAACTTCAGACCTGATTCTTTGGGTTCAAGAAGTGAACTGAGAGTTTGGGAGCCAAACTCAGGAAAAGTTTGGGGCCCACGGGACTTGAACCCGCGTTCTCCTCATGACAGCCGACTCCTTAGCCCACTAGGCTACCGACTCACGTGGTAGGGAATGCCACGAAACTTGTACTGATGATACCAGATACAAGTTGTAAACCGATGAAAAGATACAAGTGTCTGTAATTCGAACCCAGATCCTGCTCATAGCGGACAACACTCCTTTATTCGTTTGCGTCATGCACTCTTGCCGGCGCCTTCAGCAAGTACTGTGGGCTGCCTGCCTTTAGGCGGATTGTTCTGTGGGTTGTCTACGTCGATGCCCCATGGGGGAGGAAAAGGGGGGGGGGCTGCGTGCACCCCATTCAATTAATTGCCCTCGCTCCGGCTACGCGCCTTGGTTTTCTATGCTGAAATGAAGGATCAATAGGTTGAGAGGCAAAGTCTTAAAATGAATGAAGCCGAGACCACTCTTTAAATTTGGCATGCCCCGAAACTGGGAGCCTTTGTCGCCTGCTCCACTTTTTAGAGAGCCGAATGTCACCCAGTTTGGTGCCCAGAATCTGGGCATCTTGGTCGCCCAGAAACTAGGCACCTGTGCATGCTCTACCATGGGAGAGGGCCGGGTGCGGGAAGATTTGTACACCATGAGACCAGGCGACGACAAAGGTGCCCCGAAACTGGGCGACATTGGCGTGCTAAAAGGTGAGGCAGGCGACAAAGACGCCCAGTCTCAGGGCATGCCAATGCGGAGTGTACATATACAAGTCTGATGATTCAAGGCAGTGTTGGACAAACTGAATAAATGAGTAACCATGTGACCATGATGTAACCAAGCACCAGTTTGTACTTTAAAGACAATCTATTTTGAATATGATTCTAATCTGGATGTTCATATTGCATAATTAAATAAATCATTATACCAAGAAGTTTACCGCAACATTTATCCTAAACAATCTGAGTGCTATGGTGAGGTCATCCAACTGTTATTGTTACATCAGTGAATAAATTACAATAAAATATACCTACTATCATCTCAGTAACGCTTTTGGGTCCTGATAAGTACAAAAATAAGAACTATGCTGCAAAATTAACATTCTCCTGCCACTCACCATACATAAACCAGTTAATTGTCATCACAATCTTCATTTGAAGTAACACCATACTGGTAGCATTTAAAACCAAATTTAAAACATTTCTTTCTCATGTTTCAAAACTTTGATTATAAAATAAGTAGAGTATTTCTGAGAAAGTTTCCTAAAATATATATGTTACACAACATTAATAATCCTTAATTTCATTCATTCACTAGTCAACATTTAAAATGAATAAATTTATATACAATAGAATAAATTATAAATATCTTACGAGCCACCATACTAACAATGAGGCTGTGCAGAACAGTCGGGTAGCATACACAAAATTAATTATGAAACGGAATTCACATTGTCAAAGACATCACATTCGCTAGGGGTAAACTAAAATGACAACTGTCTGACATCCTTGCCCAATAATCAACAGTAGCTTTTCAATGGGAAAAGCCTTTTCTCCTTAACACGTCTGAACCTTTAAAATGAGACCTTAGTACCTTCAGTAAGACTCGCACAAACCTAACTCACAGATTAAAATGAAAAAGAGCTTGTTTTATCAATCATTGATGGAACATTTCATTTCCGTCTCATGCCTGAATGCCTGCTCTTTTCCTTTCTCTTCTGCCAGTGGTTTTGCTTATATTTTGATCCCAAAATTATTTATAGAAGCTAATTCATTATCACATTATTTTTAAGAAATTTTTTGTTGGGAAGTATGGGTGTCCACAAGCTGAGTTGTAAATTAAAAACCAGAGAGTCATAAACAATCAATCGATCTGAAGATTTTTCACCTACTCTCATATATATATAAATAACTAAATAAATAAATAGGTAGGTACAGGTATGTGAATATTGACTATCACATCGAATAACACTGACACAAAGCTTCACACATAACATCATACAGGTAGATTACAAAAAAATATTATCCGGCAGTTTACATCACACATGACATTTGCAATCAAAGCGCATAAAATAACTCCACATTAAAATTTAATTACAAATGCAGTTTCAGCATAAGGGTAAGCCAGCATTTGAATGTTTCATAAAGTTTTAGTTCTAGTTTGTAGTAAAGGTCAAAGTGTTCACCACATATAAAGGCATCAAACAGTCCAATTAGAGTGTTGAGTGACTAATTTTTTTTTCCGACCCAAAAGAATTTTACAGGTCAGGTGTTTAGTGAAACCAACTTTTGAAGAATGACCCAGCTGTCAACAAAAGGCAAGAAAAAACTGAAAGTACCCAGGAAAAAAAATTTCACATTGTATCACAATGAAATTAAGATAACCATTTACATAACACTATTCTTGGGATTATACTCTGCAAGGAAGACTACCTACAAACACTTACTAAATTTGTTACCTTGGAAATACTAAAGAATACTGAGGGGCATATCCATATTTGGGCTTCACCATAATAACACAGCAGTTAAGTTTTAATTTGGCGCCACTCATCAAAATTTTTATCTTAAGCAGATAGGAAATCACAAGCTACTGCTTAAAGGTCAACATCAAAACAACACTACTGCAGTCATTCAAGATAAATACGTCAATAGAACTTTGTTTGAATTAAGCAGTACTTTGTTTCACAATGAAACAACTTATCTTCAAAAATACTATATGGGTAACATCAAACATCTATTTTCAATACATTTATGTATATTTTACATTACCATGGTTTGGTAAAATCAAAAGATTAGGACTTTTCATTTACCTACATGAGGCACATTATCAAAATTCTGCTTAAAGCAGTGAAGTATTGCTGGGTTGGTCCAAGCATGGTCCTTGCTGGCATGCGCTACACAGGAGTTTCATGGTCCGTTTCTTCTATCCTGCCTAGGCGCCATGCATTGGGATCCGTTGCTGAAACAGTCAAGATGTAGAATTCATTGAAATGGAAATAGATATGTAAAAATAGAGAACATCTGGGGAAGCTGACAGGAAGATAAAGGATTGGCCATATGACAATTGAAAGGATTAGGATTCTATCTTCCAGGTCTACCTCAAAGGGTGTTGGCTTTCATCTTAATAAACCTCTGGTAAAGGGGCGGCGCGGCAGAGGGAAGCAAACTCTTTTTACACAAATTAATAGACACAACACCCATTCAATATTTTCCCTTCTTGCAAAATAGATTTGGGACATGCCAGGACATGACTTAATATTTGACGACAATTTGATATGAATAGAATTAGATAACCATGCACACAACTTAAACAAATTGGCGGCATGCTGGAGGAACATGAAGGATGGCCAAGCAGTAAGCAGACAGAGCCATGCAGTCAACACATTTATGGCCAAGTTTGAAAAGGATGGAGGACAAACCATGCTGGTCCAATTTGTCATGAACAGAGACGGTGTCAATACTTCAAAAGATCTGCAGGAGAGTCTGCGTCTAGGCTCAGACAATTTGGTGTTATTCAGCAACATATGCATAAATATCATTAACGGACTAAAAAATCTCAATGAACTCCTGAATGATAATCAAAGTTATCACATTTGAACTAATATGCCACATAGAGTAAAGCACAGGCGAGACTTAGTTCTGTCAATTTTGAGAGACAGCATTCATTTTACACATTTGCGCAAGTGATTGCGTTGCTTCATCTGCTACAGCACATGTGTATGAGAAGAAAGACTACAAAAAAGACAAGAAGGACCTGAAATTAAAGAAAGTCAGGAGAGTGCATACTTCAGACAAAGAGAAAGAAGGTGCAGAGAATGCTGAGAAGAAAAACAAAATATGCTTGATAGCAAATCTCAGTACACAGCCACTGAGGGGCAGTGAATTAGAATAGAAAAGACGTGTCAAAGTCACTGTTAGAGAAACTTGGTCAAGGGAAAGAAGAATGTTTGTGACAAATGGTAAGTTAACAGAAAGTAGAATGAAATGAGCAACAATACTTGCAAGGGAGACAACTATCAAGCATTTCAGTCAAGGAGCAATAAATTGCGGTACTAGTGAGAGAGAAAGGAGATAAAAGACAAAAACACACATTAGTACAGTACACATAAAAAGAAGACACGCACACAAAAGAGAAGAAATTGAAAGCCTAAATTTTGTAGTAAATCAGTTGCTGCTCATATCAGATAAAACAATTACAGAAAGGATAAGGTTTGAACAACTTGAACAGTCGATTGTGATGTTTCAACGGAAGCAGTGTAGTATTAAAGTGAATTATTCTGTCATAATGTGCAAATGTGTTAATGCAGCCAACAAGGGCCAAAGATAGTAACGGTGCAAATATGATCCAGTCCAACAAGCAAGTCTGCAGGAGGTCAAAGTCTGCTTCCCTGATGTAGGACTAGATGCAAGTGATTGGACCTTGTACCATGCTACTACATTACACTGCAATCAGCAGTAAGACATTTCACTTACCACAGTAATAGTATTTAATCCTAGGCACACCTAATCAAACAGAAACCAATGGGTAATGCAAATTACTTTCAGAAAAAAATTATGTTTTAAGCATCAGGTTGGTCCTTGTGTGAATCAGTGAGATTAAGGACTCCTTTACTATCATTGTCCCTCTTAAAAGGGAGAGTGTAAAAGAGACTTATCGCATTATGAAAATTAAAGGCTCTTAGGTTAAAAAGCTTAACATCTTGACTGATGTAAGATAGGGTTGAATACAAAACATGGTACCAAGGATAAAATGTCAATGTTTATTCACAAGTTAGACCCTCAGATAGAAAATCAATAAAGGTGACAACTATGAACTGGAGACTGTCTGAATTACACAATGGTCCTATGGCTTATTGGCGCATTCCCAATTAACATTATAAATTTGTGGGCAAGAGCATAACTTTCCTTTGAAATCATAAGAGTAAAACCTCTATAGAACTTTCATTTTAAAAATGAGCTGAACCAGATTTATTTGTGCCAATTAGCCATCTGTCCCATATTTACATGCATAAATAAGAGCCATGCAGTGGACCTCTCCTTACTGAGTTGACATTGCTGAAAAAACATTTACTGGACATCCCACTTTATGGATTTAAAATAAGATTCATTCATATTAACATCAATTTCAAGGTAAAATTGATGTGAGTACAATTATTAAAGTAGTTTACAAACTATAAATAAATACTTTGAAATACTTAAATATTGCATGATTCCCTCTTCACCTTCTAATGCCAAGCTTTTCTTGAGATTTCAGGATTAAGCATCATCAAAGAAAAGTAGTAAGTTATAGTGATTCATTTGTACCTTGAGATGAGTATTATTGACTAGAGATTAAAAGTTAACAATTGTTGATTAAAACACAATAACCTCCTTCATTAGACATGATTGCACTGAAAAATCACACAGGACAAGGGATTCTCATTTGCTCTAATAGTTGTTTCCGAGCACAGGTATAGGATTACTTAAAATTAGAATGCTAATAAAACAGCTTACAATACTAAAAGTTTCAGTTATTGTTAAAAATTTTCACAGGAAAAATAAAATAAATGCAAAATTTATTTTAACAAATCAATATTGTGAGTAAAATCTGTAGCATTTGATTGGAGCTGATTGCTGCTGATTTGGGAAAAGTGAGAATTACGTAAGGTTCAGTCTTAGGAAAAATCAAAAAAGGGAAAACTGTGCTTTGGAGATATTGCACACTAAGAGCAAAAACAGTCTTAAGCAACGATACTTGATAAATACAATTAGAAGATACAAAAGCAGCTGATTAAGAACCACTCAGTCAAAAGTTAAGCTATCTGATTAAAAATATTTGTGACTCCATGACATTATCAGTCAACATTTCTTATCTCAAAATACAGTCTTCGTTCTACAAAAAATCTAAATGGATTTGATATGGAACAACTGGGAAAACGTGGGGCGCAATAGTGAAAAATGTAGGTTCCAGGTACTAAAAATTGGCTTCAAAGGTTCAAAATATCCAGGGTAAAGAAAACTGAGTTAGCACAAAATGTAACTGAGGTCACCTCCTCCAAGCTTAAATCAAGGCAGATCATTCTGATTCTGGTCAGCAAGCTCCAGCTTGCACTCTGATATTTCAGCAGCTTTAGCCTTTGCAACTGCAGCAGCAACAGCATCACGCTGGGTGCGGAGGGCCAGAAGTTGTGTCGATCGCAGGGGGTCAGCACTAGACAACAGGGGGTCATGCTCACACACAAAGCCCTCATCTATAACAAAAAAAAACAACAAAAACAAATAAAAGAAAATACAAAGCAGTGAAAAACCAAGAAGGGTGTTCTAAAAATGAAATGAAGAAACAAAACATCAAAGTGTAAAAAAAACACTATGCTGTGCCAAGAAGATAAACATTTAGCCTTAAAAAGAAGACCAAAACTGGGCGGGCATGTCCATTAGCACCAACACAACAGGTCCCAAAAATCTCTCCAAACCCAAATCAACTCAAGTCTTGAGGCAGTCTTGAGGAGAGGCTTCTTAATGTGTAGTGTGTGGGTAAAAAATGTAAACGGGGGCTATGACAACAAATTTCAAAAATCCTGCACTGAATAGTCTAAAGTTGAGCTCAAACTAGCTGAGGTAGTTTAAGTTGTTGATTTTTCTTTGTCAGCAAAGCAAAGCATTAGCCAGATGAGTGATTCTCATGTGTGTGTGTGCACCCATCAATAGGAACTAAACAAAATACATTAAAAATGGGATTGCAACCATGGAAGTCAATTGTCCCATAATAAATTTAAAATAAACCCCACAACTACACAATGGAGTGTGGCTCAAGCCATAAAATAAACCATATACAATGATTTATATCAAGAGGACGGCACAAAAGCATTTAGCAAAAAAATTCAAAGCATGAAAACAAAAATAATCAAAAATAAAGAAACAAATCGCTGATGGAGGATAAAATACGGATACATGGGCAATTTCATAAAACTAATTTAGTTTCTGACTTGAAATAAATGGGACATTTTCAAAGTTACCAAGGCACCACTGCATTTGTTGAAAATTGAAAAATGTTACATCCTTCATAGGAAGACACCCCAAGTTGTTTGCAACCACATTGATATAAAAATCAAAGTATCGGCAGTATGTTCACATGAGCTCAAAGTTTTGGTATTCATTCCAACTTTTTTGGAACTCACCTTGAAGCTGTCGGTTGATAAGCGCAGTTATTCCAGGGCCGTCCCCGCTTTTCTTGACAATTAACATCGGCTTTTCTTCCCCTGCTTCTTCAAGGCTATTTGGCAGATGTCCGTTTACACTAGCTGCCATGGTCTCGTTCACCTGTAAAAGAAAGGGTAAGCCCATGAAAACCATCAGTATCATTCATCCAATCACTTTGATAAAAAATGACAACAAGAAAAAGTCATGTTAGAAAGCTCAGTGCCAGCAGTGGTTGTCATTTCAAGATAATGCAAAGCTCATGATGCATGACGGTTTGGTTTGGCTTCAATTGGAAATTATTTTAATGTGAGCTGATGAAGGAAAGAATAACGAGTAAATCTTGTAAAGCTGAATTATTTAACATTATGCAAGAAATGCTTGTGTAATAACTTGATTGCTTAGGAGAAGTTAATTAAAGCTGAGTGTAACAAGCACATATGAATAAAGCCAACAATATTGAGGTATATGAAATAAGTAAGCAATTGGACCAGACCGACAAAACCGCACTGTCCTCATCAACAGACGTGCCAACTACAGGAATCTGAAACAACAAGCACACACGCCACACTCACGTAGTAATCAAATTTCAATCAGAATTATAAGAAGCATTCCAAGCCTTAAGAAATCTCTACAACAGGATAAAATGAATTTTATTTTGATTTAAATTATGTACGGAGACAACTTGTTAATTTTGTTTCCATTTTAGAGCATGTCAAATAACCACTTTTATGCAATGAACCAAAAACCAGAAAACCACATACATCATCTTTGCATCATCTCATAATTTGAAGAGGTAAGGATAGCATAGAAAATGTAGTATGGTTTTAGAAACATTCTCAAACCACTGAATCCATGTCACTAGTATTTTCTCTCAAATGAGGGAAACACAAAGACACCAAAACATGACAGTAGACCTTGCTTCTAAGTTTAGTCTCTTTGGTAACTACATAGAGCATGCAGTTTGTACATCCAAATTAGATACTTTTTACCATTGCCTACATTCAAGTACAAAAACTAGAGACAAAACTAATGGCTAACTCAAAACAACTGCACACCACAGCTGGTTCACAGTTCTCTTTGAGATTTTCCACTTTAGGCAAACAATAACAATATTTCCAAGGACTCACCTGCATAAGCTTCTTAACAACATCCCTGCCCAGGATGTGGTCAAATACTGCTTGTAAAAAAGAGTCTGTTATGATTGTTAGCTTGAGTTTATCTCGATGCCACAACAAAATACGAGAGTCTTCCATTGCAGTCACTGAGACCTACAAGAAGAAAAGGGCAGTGACAAACAGAATTAAAATATGATTTTTTTCATTCTAACGAATCCATGTACCATACTGACCTGGAAATATTCATCAGTGGACACCCCAAACCACTCCGGTGAATCCAAAAACTGATGAGGGAACACAATGTGCAAGGCACGAAAGTTTTGGGAAACAACCAGCCTAAAACATTCAAATTGTTGGATCGTAATCAAATGCCAATAGCCACATAAGGATGTCCTCATAGAGGAAGCCCTTACTCACTTGCCAGACAGAACGAGAGAAAGTGAATCTACTTTGGTGACCTTCTCCTGCGCATAAACTTCTTGATACTTCAGTTGGCGGATCATCTTCATGCAGCTCAACACCTTTTTGAACTGGTGTCTCGACACCTTCAAAGGTTGAAACAGGGCCACATACACCTGCAACAAGCAACATCATTCCATCAGAAAAGAACGCAGAGAAGGGAGGGGTCCGACTTGGCGAGCGGGAACGTAAAGCCACGACACCCGCAAATCCCACACCAACCCTCGCTGCAGGCTGGTGCCGGGCGGGGCGTCCCGCCGGCCAGTCTCTCTCGCACCATGCGGGACGCCGCGGGACGCTCCCGTCAGCGCGAGAGAGAAGAGAGGGGCCTCCGCTCGGAATCAGTCAGCTGGACCGAGCTGAACCCAGCGCCGCACTAACCCCTGCCGATTTACGGGCGGGCAAGGGCCAGCGGGGCCAGCGGGGCCAGCCACTCCGGCAAACTTGTTTGGGGAGGCTTGCTTGGGTTCGCCAGGCAAACTCCCGCGTTTAAGCGTTTCCCGATGTCGGGAAAAGGCACACAGCGAGGATGACGGAGGTGAAGGTGTGAATGAGAGAGACAGAGGGAGTGAGTGAGTACGAGTACGAGGAGAAGTAAAAGGAGGAGGAGGAGGAGTACGAGGAGGAGGAGTACGAGGAGGAGGAGTACGAGGAGGAGGAGGAGGAGGAGGAGGAGGAGGAGGAGGAGGAGGAGGAGGAGTACGAGGAGGAGGAGGAGGGAAACGGGGTGAGGTTGAGGCGGGAGCGGGTTAGGATAGGCTTCAGAGCACTGCTAGCGTGGCGCCGCGGGTAGGTAGGCCATTAATAATCCAAATCGATTCTTCACCGCCTCGCTCCCATGCATGCGCCGTTGTCGGACCCAACGTTCAACTCCGTCAGTCTCGAACCCAACTCCACCGACCCCACCCTGGCAGCCTCCCGCCCGGTCCGAGGGAAGGCCTTTAGGCCTGCCTAGGGCCGGCGGTCCCCAGCGCACGGCCCTGCACTGTAAAAACGGGGCGCCCAAAAACTAGCGCCTTGTTCTTAACTCCAAACCACACAGCAATGGTCTGAAGCGCCTGCGAGGTAGGCCACAGATCCGTCCCGCAACACACCGCTGTGGAGACGGTGGCCTACCTCGCCCCTGTCGTCTTCACAGGGGCGACGTAGGCCACCGTCTCCACAGCGGTGTGTCGCGGGACGGATCCGTGGCCTACCTCGCAGGCGCCAGGTGCACTGGACACGCGACGGCTTGTCGCGTCTGGGATGAATCATGTCGCGATGAAGAACATTGCGGAAGGCGTGACAGGAAACGGCTCTATCCGCCGAGAGGGGTGTGCACTGTGCGACAAGGTGTCTGTTGCAGGCCGCGGCTGCAGGCGGATTCCACACAGTGCGTTGTTGCTCTCTCTCTCTCTCTCTCTCTCTCTCTCTCTCTCTCGCACTTCAGGGGCGTGCCGCAGGGGTGCGAGAGAGACGGATCGTCGAAAGCACTGCTCGGAATCAGGCGGCTACTCAGTAATCGGGCTTTGCGGTGATTGCCGCGTCGTGGCGTTGGCATGGCACCCCATGGCACGTGGCACCACCAGGCCCTTTCCGGGAAAGCAATGACGAGCCCGACGCTGCACAGTGGGCCAGAAGACCGGTGGAGGCGGCCAAAATCCCGGACGCGTTGAGCTCCAGAGTCGCTAAACTGGACTCGAACCGAACGTGTGATCCCACCAATGGATTGCTCTCCGAACGAGGAATCCATCGGTGGGGTCACACGTTCGGTTCGAGTCCTAATTAGCGACTCTGGAGCTTACAACGCGTCCGGGATTTTGACCGCCTCCCCACCGGTCTTCTGGCCCACTGTGAGCTGTCCCGGTCACCGCCACTACTTCCACTGGCCGGGCAATGGGCCGGAAACGGGACGCCGCCACGGCGAGCGCTTTTTGAAATTCGATTCCGACTCTTCTCTTTGACAAGAAGGGACCTTTCTTTCCCAAGCTTCCACTAGCGGGGGCGCGCTGTCTGCTCTGTCCCTTCTTCGACCCGGCCATTCGGCATAATGCAATTTACAGAGGCGAATTCGATTTCTTTTCCTTCGCTGATGCTCATCCATCAACCGGGCGGGGCGGGCGGGCACGTGAGGCTGCGAGGGGCACGGGGGCAGAGGGCGACACTCGGACGGGAGGAGGGGAGGGGAGGGGCGTCGGGGGAGGAATTTTGGGGGAGGGCGTGGGAAAGGGGTGTCGGGGAAGGGAGTTGTCAGTGGTGGGGGTGTCAGTTGTTTTGGAGAAAGAAGGTTTCAGAGACGGGGGTGTCAGAGAAGGGGGTGTCAGCGAAGGGGGTGTCAGAGAAGGGGGTGTCAGAGAAGGGGGTGTCAGAGAAGGGGGTGTCAGAGAAGGGGGTGTCAGAGAAGGGGGTGTCAGAGAAGGAGGTGTCAGAGAAGGGGGTGTCAGTTATTTTGGAGAAGGGAGGTGTCAGAGAAGGGGGTGTCAGAGAAGGGGGTGTCAGTTATTTTGGAGAAGGAAGGTGTCAGAGAAGGGGGTGCCAAAGAAGGGGATGTCAGAGAAAAAAAGGGGGGGTGTCAGCGAAGGAGGTGTCAGAGTGACTGCCGAGCGAGCAGAAGCGTCGTCTCGTCACTCTGTCTCTGTCTCACTCGGAGAGCTCTACGTGAGGGTGCGAAAGAGACGGAGTGACAAACCGCTCTTCCGAATCGCCCCCTGGATGGCAGCTGAGAGAATGGCTGCCGTGGGCACGCGACAAAGGCCTCGCAATGCTGTACACAGTGTAGGCTGCGCTGCACCACGGCCGCGCCGTGGCCGCCATGGCGCCAGCTGCAGACTGAGAGTCGTCTTCGTCAGTCTGGTTCTCTCGCACCTGTACGGGGTATGCGTCAGAGAGAGACAGAGCAACGAACGACTTTCGGAATCAGTCTGCAGAGCTGTACTGCAGACGACCCACTCTTCCCGGACCGCTCGCGCCGCTCGCGCCGCGGGAATTGCGTACAGTCAAACACTTCAAAGAAAGAGAAAATTGAGTCGCGGCACGCCGTGCACGCCGCCATGGGAGTGGGAGGCATCCGAGCGACTCGCGCGCAGAAAAGAAAAGAAATATCGGAGGCGAAAGAAGCACAAGGTGTTCCTGGAGCCCGATGCGCACAGTTAGTTGCGAGGCGCGGCACGGTTGCGTGGCCTCGCGCGCCTCGCGCCGCATTGGTGAAGGGCGCGGTGTGTGGATGCCTACCGCCAGGCGTTTTCCATAGTGCCAGGCGCGGATGCGAAAAAATGAGGGGGTGTAGGAGAGGGGTGGTTCCCTCAATGACACTTAGATAACCGCCTAAAAGGCAAAAAGCCATACTTTGACCCTTTGAGTAGGCTAATAGAGCCTCTGCCTCCCCCGCTTAGGCCACCAAATAGGCAACCTCCGCCACTGCATAGTACGGAGAACTGGGGGGAGGGGGGCGACCATTTAGCCCCCTCTCCCAGCCCACCCGCAGTACAAACGCCTGGAGCCTGCCCAGGAAATAAAATTTGCTACGCCACTGGTGCACTGGGCCGTGCGGCGCCGCCCTGGGCAGGCTTGCAGTGGTTCCGGGCACTTTCCAGACACTTCCTGGTGCAGCCAGTATCTCACGGGGCCGCTGCTTCGAAAAACGAGGCAGCCTCTTTGGATAGAGTGCTCCCTGTAGGGCCCCGCCCGGCCAGCCCACGGGCCAGCCGGCCAGCCTCGGCAGAGCCAGGCAGTCAGAGTCCGCAGCCCGCCCGGAGACCTCTTACTTAACCCTGGTCGGTCAGCCAGTCAGCCCCCAGCCCGGGGGCCTGCGGGATGCCCCCCCCCCCTTTCCAACCCCCTCATAAACCCGGCCCGAGCCAATTCCTCATCCCCCACCCCCTCACTTGTCCAGCCCAGGTCGCAGGCGCCCCAGGGGAGCGCTTCTTCACCCGCCGGGGAAATTTGCAGAGCGCCGCGGAAGGAATGACATCCGAGCTCAATGAGTGCCGCAATTGGGCGCTGCGACGCGGCGACCGGGTTATTGAATGTCGGGGGCCGCCGCGCCGCGTAGCGCCGCACAGTGGGCCAGAAGACCGGTGGAGGCGGCCAAAACCCTAGACGCGTTTTGAGCTCCAGAGTCGCTAAACGGGACTCGGACCGAACGAGTGACCCCCACCAATGGATTCCTCGTTCGGAGAGCAATCGATTGGTGGGGTCACACGTTCGGTTCCAGTCCTGTTTAGCGACTCTGGAGCTCAAAACGCGTCTAGAGTTTTGGCCGCCTCCACCGGTCTTCTGGCCCACTGTGCGCCGCGCCGTGGAATGCCACGTGACCGACTGCACGGGAGGATCCGTCAAACAAGCGGCGAACGGCCGGACGCGTCCTTCACGGCCTGCAGACTCATTCAGAGAGTCGCTTTCGTCGCTCTGTCTCTCTCGCGCCTAACGGGATGCCCCATGAGTGGGAGAGACAGAGCGACGGAAACGTCTCAGGGAATCAGTCTGCTGGCCGAGGTCCGAGGCACTCGTCGAGCAAGCTCCGGCGTCAAGACAACCAAGACAAGTTTCACAAAGCAGAAGTAGAAAAAAATAGATTAAAATTTTTAGCAGACTTGCCTGCATGCATTCATCTTCTCTCCAAGCGCGGATCCAAGAGTCAAAATTGCCCCCTTTCCCCCGAGCCCCTGGATAGCCGCCTAATGGGTAGGCAAATAGCCTCGCGTTGCCTTGGCAAGTAGGCAAATAGAGCCACTTGCTACCCCCACCTCCCTCTCTAGGCCGGCTCCGGATTCGGACCTTCTGCTCCTCTTTACTAGAGATCTTTGCAGCTCTTTAGAGCAACCCGCCTTTGAGGTGGCGGAGCCTGCCACCTATCCTATCGCGCCCTTAACAAAGCCTGCCCTCTGGCCCGCATGACATTTAAATGTCAGATAAATAAGTTATAAAGCGAGGGCATCCCTTCAACAAAACCATACATAGCTAATCATGACCTCAAATTTCAAATCCTATAGAAAAAGAAAGTAAAGCAAAGCAGTGAAGATGTCTTACCTCTTCAACTTCTTTGGTGAACTTCACAGGGCGCAGACGGTAGAGAAGGATGCAGATGTGGATGAAGTTAATCACAACAAAATTCACATTCCACAAGAATGCATCAAATGAGCAAATTACCGACCATCCCCAAAGAGCGAACAGTGCGCAGCCTATCAAGTGAGTTGACCTTAAGTACACCATGCCATACAGGCCACTTGGGGCAAGGTAGGACAAAAAGAAAAATGTATTGGCTAACTGGAAGTACATATGATTGACAGAACCCCATTGTGAGCAAGCAGGATTACCAAATAATGAAGCAAAATATGACACATTAAAATTATTTGCCCAATCAAAGGGGGGGTCTGTTGTTGACGAAGGTAATTTCTCAAACTGTGATACAGCCATTGATGGGGAGGGGCTTGTTGACGTTAGAGCACTAGAGATGTTTTCCATGAGATTCGTAGCAGGTCCGCTTCCCGACACAGCTCCAACTTCACTTGCTGCATTGCCCTCGGCAAAATTTGCAGCAAAAATCCTGTCATAAGCCATCTCTCTTTGTTCGCCTAGTAGCAGAATGCTTGATCCCTTTCATTCAAACTGTTTCACGGAACCGAAGAATTCACAACACCCATACATAGTTGGTCTTCATCTCTTCAGCAACGAGCCTCCATCACACCCATCCTATAAGAGAACAAAAAGGAAAAAGCATTAGAATAGTACTCAACAAAACACAATTTTTCCTCTTTTAAGAAAGTACAACCAAAGGTAAGCATAGAGTAACGGTAAAACTAATTAGTTGAGTTGAGATCCGAGTTAAAACAGCAAGAACAAACAAAATCACAAGGATGAAGTCACCCCATGGATTGTTAAAAAGGGACCAAACAATGAAACCGTCCATGATGGACGATGGGGCGCTGTCACAACACAAATGAACCCTTTGGTTACAGCCAATAGCGGATACATTGATTTCGAAAATGAGCAGGTGGGCGGACCGAACCCCGTCCCCCGATCTTGCTCAAAGACGGAGGCCCACGAGTCAAATACAACTTCTTTTCACGTACCGTGTTCATCGAGTGAATCCAGGGCGACATGACAATCCACGATAACCAATAAATTCTGGACGCGGAAGTGCCTTGCGACGCCTACATGATCTTCAAGACCCCGACGGTGCAGGTTCGCTCCCCCAACGGTGCAGCATTCGGTGTCAAAATTAGCGTACAGGCGTGTGGGGCACGAAATCAGGTGCAGTCAAGTTGTGGAGCTGCGTCCGTCCGTAGTGCAGCTGCGAGGCGAACAGGCGAACCCCTGCCCGTCCCGTCTGCTCGCCTAGAGTCCTTTACGAAGGACCGAGGATTCGGACCCACTGAAGTCGGTGCGGATGTCCTGCGGGAAGGAACGACAGACGCTGGGCCGCTTCCAAAATGCGGTCAAACATTCTCTCTCCCTCTCACACACTAGCGGTTCGCGTGGGAGGCAGACGAGGACAGCACGACAGCACTCTCGGCTCGGCAGCCGAAGATATCCCGAACGACCCGAATCAGACCCGAAGTGGGCCGCGGGGAGTGGACCGCCAAATAATTTTGATTCACAGTAATGTTGGCCGTGACGTGCTGCACTTGATGTATTTTCCGATTGAGGTAATTTTGCTGTTCTGAAAACAGCAACGACTGCCCGTCGGAGAAGTTAAAATCAGCTAAAACTTCTCCTCTTCCACTTCATTTTGTCGTCTGCTACGCCAAGCTGACCTACCGTAGGCAACCTGCAATGTAAAATTCTGATTGTGTGACTCAAATAAGAGTGATATCAACGAATGTTTCATTTTAAAAAGCTCCATGGCAGTCAAATTTTTGATGTTTATAATTTACTTACTTGTAAAACAAGATAGTTTGATCATAGCTTTACTAGCTGTTTTTGTGTATGTTGGCTAAACTACTGTCCCTAAACAATAAAATCTGGGTTGTCACTTGTCCGTAGTGGTCCTCACGTACATTTAATGTTCTTTTAACTTTAAATTTATTGTTGTTAATTGATTTATTTGATGGCGTTTGACACTCATTAGCTGCCAGCCTAGTTTAGCTAATGGGTACACCACGGTTGTCCAGAAATTAACGAGTTGAAGAAAGAGAACTAGGTTATTCTGGTCAGTGTAGTGACGTGTGTCTTGTTTTGATGCAGTTTCTGGTTTCATTTTGCCTTTGCTAAAACGATTTATTGTTAAATTTATGCAGGACAACCATGGGAAAAGCTGTCCCCGAAAACAAAGGCTCGCCCCAAGTTCCTTCGGAGTTCAGCATCATGGACCGGAAACCTATTATTACCTGTAAGTTTTGTCAATGTTTACATTTTACTCATTACTTTGTAGGTTAGTATTTCGTTGTTTCGTTCAATCCTCAGTGGTTTTCAATATAGTGGCTTGGTTGACTTGTCTTCTGTGCGATTTTTTCCTGATCTTCGAAATCTGATTTGTTGTTTTGTCCATTTGTCACTGTGATTGGTTTGCTACTGTCATTGCAACTTTGCGATGGCCAATCTGTACTTGAATTCTTAATTTTTTACTATTTCTTTTGCCCCTTTGTGTTTACCTGATTGGATTTTTGCTCCGTCAGATGCTGGAGACAAAGCATTATTTGCTACGCTGGAGCAGAGTTTGATTGATGGCATTCCCAAAGATTCTACGGAGTGGAAAAGATCCTACGGCAGGCCTGTGATATCGGTCACCACCGAGGCACTATTTTCTCCTTTTGATCGCAAGGAGTTGCCCAAAGAAGGTGACTGGCATCTCATTGGGCTACCAATTTTTCACACCTATTGGACAGAATGTGTGGTAAGTATCGATTCATTAAAATTAAAAAATACAGTATACCAAATGTGATTTTTATACAGACTCTTTCCTTGACAGGATGTGGATGTTTACAAAACATCTGTTCGAGATGATATTGATTCCTGGCTAAAGGTTCTTCAGAGATATGGTGTTGAAGATTGGTTGATTGTACAAGTAGAAACATATGACACTAAAAGAAGTAACAAGCTTCTTCCTAGAACTACTGTCCTTGATAAAATTCGAAGTGATTTTGCTTCTAAACATCCTGATCGGTATGTTGATTTGCTTTTGCATCATTTTTGTAGTGTGACCATCAATTTGTATTTATTTTTGTTATCAATTTACAGGTGCATTTCTGTGTTCAATCCAATTCGCAGTGAATCAAAGTCTGCTGAAACTTGGAGGGGTTTGCTGTTTCGATTACGTGTATTACTCCTTCAAGCGTATGACACAACTCTAGTTAGGTTTGAAGAAACTATTCGGAAGCAAAGAGAACGTCGAATAGAGCCTGGATGGAGCTTTTGCAAATACTTTTTGTTACAGGTACTTGACAATTTTTAGAACCATGTAAATTTTAAATGTCTCTTTTCATGGTATTTCTTAATATTCTTTTTCTCATTTGGCTCATTAAGGAGGAACTTGCATTTGTTCTGGAAATGTTGGGGCTGTTTGAAGAGGCCTTAGTCCAATATGACGAGTTAGATGCACTATTCACCCAGTTTGTGTTGAATTCAACTGTTGGGGGTAATTATTACTTTAACACATCTCATGCTTTCAAACAAAGAAATGAGCAAAACTTAGTTTTACATCCTCTTGACTGCATTGTCTGTTGTTGTTTCACAGAGACTCCCAAATGGCTAGGATCTTTCCAGGGTCCATTGGAATCCTGGCCTGGTCTTCACCTTACCCAAAAGGTTAATCAAGAACAAAGGTTACTACTTCAAAATTCAAAAGCTTCTCTTCTCCAATTCAGAAGCTATTTATTTTCTCGTCAGTGTGCCATGCTCTTGCTCACCAGGAAACCATGGGAGGTATGTGTTTTTGTTTGTTGTTAAAGTATCTCTAAAGGACACAAAATATTTTATAAGCTGTATTTGTAGCTTTTAGTTTTTGTATAATTTTACAAGTTTTCTGAACTTTTGTTTCTGTTTCCAGATTGCAAAAAGGACATTACCATTCCTACTAAACTGTGTGGCTGAGTTGCGAATATTAGAGGTTGCTTGCCCTCCAGGTTCAGTTGCATGTTGGTTGTTTTTAGGCTGCCTTGAAGTTCTCCGCTCGTGTGAACAGTTTAATGAAATTTTTGAGGTACAAAAATATTCAATGTTCACTGCAAGTCTCTGGGCATATGCAAGTGACAAGGTACTGTCAACTTAAATATTCAATAGATCACATTGCCAGTAAATTTCCCTATTTGGCTCTGTACACATTGAAAATTTTGTTCCAGTTGAAAGAATTAGGTGAATTATGTGGACTTCTTCCGGGAATGGAACCAACAAGTGAACAGCTTCACTTAGTAGTTGGGCTCTCTGCTGGTATGGGAGATGCCCCTTTATTAAGTAACAACCGTACTCCTACAGACCAACTCAAGGAGGCCTTATCGTCAAATGAAGCTTTTAAAAAGCATTACCTGGTAATATGATAATGATACACACATGTTTTGTCTTGTCATTGTGGACAATTGAAAATATCTTTAGTCCATCTTGCAATGTTTTTGTAGGAGTTCTCAGAACTTGCTATGGGCACATTCAAGCATATAGGTCGTGTCAGACTTGCCCGAGTTATTGGCCGAAACCTTGCAGCATTTCATCAAAGGCTTGGAGAGTACCAAAAGGCATCCACTTTCCTCGCTGATGCTCTGCAAATGCTGGAGGCAGAAGGATGGCGGGCTATGGCAGTAGAAACTAAACAAGAGCTTGTCACCTGCTACCTCCATACAGGGGACAAAGAAAAGTAATTATCTCCCTTGTCTGAGATCCTTGATTTTTTAATTAAGACATCCTGAAGCAGTTTTTATCTTTTCTCTTCTTGTTTGTTTTTCTCATCTTAAGGTATGTGAAAACGTGTGCTTCCCTTGCATGTTGTCATGAATTAGACCATGAGAAGAGAACATACTACTTCAACCAAATGGTTGAGGTTCTTGCAAGTATTTCAACAGGTCAGTATTTGCTTTTACACTAAGTTTTCTAAGCATATAAACCTCATTTTGATTTTAAAAAATTTTGCTTTTTAAATTTTAGAAATACCTTTGCTAACAAATTTCTCAGAGGCATTTGAGCTTCTGAATGTCACTGTAAAAACAGAGAAACAAAAACTGGTAGTTGGGGGAGCAGTAGAAGTAGAGGTTGAATTGAACAGTCTCCTGCCATGTTCTGTGACTGTCCAACTAGCATCTCTCTCAATGGAAAAGATTCCTGATAAAGAGGAGATGACAAACAATAGTTCTAATGTGGACAAGAAAAATTCCAGTGAACGGTTTGCTCCTTCATCATCACAAGCAACACTCAAAAGGTAAATAAGGTGTTTTTTTTTTTTCAACTGAATGCATACTTACTTGCCTCAACTATATAATAGTAATTCTTTGTAACATTTATTTTATTAGGAGTTGTGAAATAAGTCGGTTGCCTGAAAATCCGCTCTTATCAAGAATCTCACTGTGCCAATGTGTTGACTATCAACAAGACCAAAGTCTTAAGGCAGCCTGGGCTACTTGTAAAGATTCACGAAATTTCTTAAGGTTGGTTTTTATTTGCACTAAATTTGCCATAAAATTTGGATGCAAACTCTTAATATATCTTGTTAATTTGGTTTGACAGGAGAGCTGATAGTCAAGGTAGCTACAGGAAAGCTAGTACAACCTCTCGGGCAGATTTTAGCCTTTCTGTATCGGTGAAGAATTTTAACCTTGTTCCAGGCAAGAATACATTGTTTCTTGAATCCAAGGTATTATTTACTTTTTCTTTGCTTTTCCTTTACTACTTTCTATACGTACTTTTTTTGTTCTACATGTGCTCAAATATGCATGTTTCTTTGTTAAAAGATTACAGAGTCTGGGAAAGTGCAGTTCAGCCAAATGTCAATTAAAATTTGTGAAGAGAGGCTAGAGTTCTTATCTTGTGCACTCCAGCAAGGAATAGGCTTTGAAGTGACGAGTGAATCCACCACTGTCTCCTTGAAGCAATCTGAAAATGACCTCTTGGCTGGGCTTGAGCAGGAAGTTACTCTTACTGTGAATACTGGCAGCCACTGTATAGAGAAGGTAAGCCTTAAACACTTCAAAGTTGTTTAGCCCTGGAAAGCTATACAATAAATAATAATAATCTGAAATGTCTGCCATTTCAGGATTCAAAATTAATTTTAAGACCAACAGAGGGCCTGCAGACTCAACTGAAACTTGCAGCTGATGAGCCATTACTTAGTGAACTTGTAATTACTCTTCCTGAAACTCAACCATTTGAGACTTCTGAGTATCCACTGCGTGTACTTGCACGGCTAGGTCCTCAAACAGATAATAGTGTTCTTGAACATAAGGTATGTTTACTCTCACTTGCCTACTGGGCTTGTAGAAATTTTGTTGTTTATAAAAAGAAAAAAGTTTTGTTTTTTTTATTACAAAACTTTTCTACTGAGGATGTAAATTATTGCATTGTTGATAGGTTGAAATAGACTGTCCCTGGTCAAAAGAAGCAGAGCCTGCTGCTCTTCACTTCCAACCTCCTTTTTATACCTGTTTGAGGCTGCATACATCTCATCGACGGAAATTTGCACAAATCGTGGTAACTGGGTTGACCAGAAGCCCCCTTAAACTGATTGAACCGGAACTTAAGCTCAGTCAAGACAGGGCATCAGTTAGATTACTACCTCTGAATCCCAAAGGAGGCCAGCCAATGGTAAATATTTTCCTCCAATGTTATCTTTTTTTATGTATGGATGTTTTCACAACCAAAATACCTTTTTCAACTCTGCTTACCAGGTTGTCAGCCATGGTTTCAATGTTGTCCTTCTATGGGAGTTAGAAGTCACAGAAATTGAGGGAGAAGAGACAAATGCTGATCCCATCAGTGCAGTGTTTACTATGTCTTATCATCCAATGCAAACTGAAAATGATTCTTCACACAGATTGTACAATTGTTCATTTGCCATTAATGATTATAAAGTATGTATATGGTTTGTGCAGGTTTGGGCAACTTTTATTTCACTCTCCTCAAGAACAAATTGATCTAATTAATTTTATTACAGACTTTGATTGTGACAAGTGCCAAAGTTGAACCATCCAAAGGCAGTGAATTCTGCCGCGCCAGTACAATGTGCCATTTACACTTAACAGTGGAGCGTGTTAGTGAAAACCTGCGAAGTCCGCTCATGTATGAAGTTCTTGTTGATCAAACAATGTGGGCGGTATGCGGGCGAACAACAGGTGTGACACTATTTCCACTTAATGGAAGATGATTTTGAGGGCTGCTTGTTTGTTTGTTTTTGGGTATTGATGGTATGGTTATTTGTTTTGTTTAGGTGTTGTAACTGTTGATGAAACCCATAAACAAACAATTCAGTTGGATGTCATGCCGCTAATGAGTGGGTACTTGCCAGTTCCTCATGTGAGACTTTCAAAGTACATTCCTGCTGATCAGAAGCCTATCAGCAAAGGTATCAAGACTTCTTCCTTTGTTCTAACAACTATAATATTACAAACCAAAATAATGATAACAATTTCAAGCAATAATTTCTGGACCTGTTTTTGAGTTAAAAGTGCCATTATTCATGTCTTATCATTTTTCAGCTTCAACACTTCAGCCACGGAGGGAGCCTTTCAGTCCTGGGCAGGTGTTCAACAACAGCAAGGCTCTCCAAGTCCATGTCCTGCCCTCTGTTCCACCTGGAGACACTCCCTGATCCCAGCCTTTGCCCCAACCTGCTTCGTCAGTGCCATCACATTTTGAATCTGAGCAGGAATATGATTCATATTCAGACAATGACTCGGATTTTGATGATTCTGACGATCAGGAAGAGGGCCTTTTCGACCACCATGATCCTGATATGAATCAGGAGCCCCAAAATCGCTCAACTATGATCAGCTCATTTTTCAGTAAATTTAAGTCCTTTAAGTCATTTAAATGATGGGAATGTCCTTGTGATCATATTCATTTTAATGTGCCTTTCTTGTGTGAATGCTTTTGTCCCAGTCTTATAGTGAATATTTTTGTCTCATGTCTTGTGAGAATCATCAACTTTCTTTCTTTAAATTGAATATTTGTAATGGCAGGTCAACTGTGACATTGCAAATAGACTGTTGAACAGTGAACTAACATTTTTGACAAACTGAAAGATACACTTTCTATTCACCTCAGTTTACTGCAATGTTCCTTATTACTTCAGGTCAAAAAAAAAGTTGTATGTTAATTTCTATGAACTTGTTTTACATAGAATCAGAAGTGCACCTATGCTTCCTACCTGTTAGGAGTCAGAAACTACTAAAAAAACTACTTTTTAGACCAAACCAGTGTTTTTAGCTGTACTCCTTTGGGTTAATTTTGTTTAAACAGGATCCCTCTTTTTGTGGTAGTAGAACCCGGCCTTGGATTCTTTGCTACAATTATGCACTGTAGTGTGCAAAATTCACTGTTGTGTAATTATGTATCACTTCATTAATTTTGTGCCATGATCAAACTGTATTATTGTGATTTATTATTACTATTGTTATTGATAAACCGTGTATCTTTGTGAAGTGCTCAGAAAATGAATAAATATTTCTAGCTAGTGTACAGACTGAGTTTAAGAATTTGTTATTGGAATTGCTTGTTTAATGAACAATGCTGTCTGTTTTTGTACGAAGACTTTGTAAGGAATTTGACATGTTGTTCTTTTTTATATTGTAAATAATTGAATCAAATGTTATAATAAATATATGCTGTTACTTTGAATGATCTGATGAATTTTGCCAAGGAAACAAAAAATTGGAGGACAGAGCTTATACATAGTGTGAACAGACAAATTTATTACTACACCATTTAAATACATATGTAGCAACACGCAATATGCGTGCACTTACAAGAATTAAAAGTTGAGCATCAGCCATCTCATAGTTCTCTAGTCTTCTATGCATTCTATCTTCTGTAGATGTAGCCCTACTCCAAACTTACAGCTTTCTGGACTCAATTTGTGACCAATATTAATCAGTTTCATGAAGAGTAAAACAAACATTGCAGGAGATTGTTTGAACCAAATCTTCACAAATGAGTACGAAACTTATGAAATGAAGACTGACAAAATGTTTCCAAAAGTTTAGTCTAATCAGTCAAACTGAAATTTAAAGCAAGATGCACAGTACACTATGTACTTCTGTTGATCCACATGTTCCAAAAATCACAAGAATTCTAAACTGAAATCAGTAGTTGAGTGTCTGAGCAATTTCGTAATCATGAGAACATGCAAAATTACATCAAGACATCGAAATAAAGCCAATTCAGTGCCAATCATTCCATTACTTTTCATTTGAAATGCCACATATACTAAAATGCCTAATACATACATGGCTCATTATTTACAGCATAACTTATGTTAGTCTCTCAAACCTTGAGAGAAGGGCATGCTTCCCTCACGCTCAAACACCTTACGTACTTGCCGAACCATTCAAAGCATAATTCACTTCTATAATTTGATATGATGCACACAAAGAATATAACAATAAAAAAATTTAACTAAACACAAAAAGCACACAAGAATGTAGTGAAATGAATAGATCCCTCATCACATAATCACAATCAAAGTCTCATTCATTACCTCCACTTCCAGCAGTCCACAATAGAGATCTCTTTCAGTCTGAGACAGTCATTTTGCAGCATCATGCAAGTCTTATAATGTAGAATTTTGTTTTAAAGGGTTTTAAACATTTATCATTTTTAACTTAGGTGTTATTCTGGTGGACTCAACAAAACAAAAAAATCAGACAAAAAAAAATTAAATAAAAAAAAATTCCTTACACAATACGTTACAGTCTACCTCAGAGTCTACTTCCGCTCTACTTATTCTCCTCCCATTTACCTCAACATTCCCAAACAGAAATCGAATATGGCGAATCATTGCACGAGGTCTTGGGAAATTGATTAATAATATTATCGTCCTTTGCCACCATCATTTTGACGAGAGTTACCAATTAAACTAAGTTATAAAATATCATTCCTTACAACTTTCCTCCAACCACAAATCTTTTCTTTAAGACATTCACTACACATCAATGCTACATGATTATTTGTATTATTAGAAGTAATGGTGTCACCATTATTTATATTAAAACTTTGAGGGAAATTAGAGGTTGAGGCAATCAGCAAACCAATACAGTCAGCAGCAAATCACAGAAAAACAGGAACTAAAACTGTTAACATCTTTTAAATTATTTAGTTTAATGCATCATACAAATAAGTGCATATATGAATAAATAGGCAGATGCATGTGAATGTAACTTTGATTGGTTATTATTACTAATATTATGACAATTACCAACACTGAAAAAGTGTTAACAAATGCTATCCCCCAAGAAAAGCTTCAATACTTCAAGCTATGTGACAATGCACAAGAATGCCATTAGGTAATATAGTTAAGAGAAACGGTGCTTCAAAAGTTTAGATCATGAGATGTGCACCTTACAACTTTGAGGAACTTCCTCACATGAATCAGAAACAAAGCCATAGAAACTTCTCTTTCAAGTACGTTTGTCACCCATCAATCAAACCGCAATATGGGAGCTGGATAAGGCAGTGGAAATGATTATAAAATAGGACAATGAGCAAAAAACAACTATGGTTAAATTGTAGAAATATAGTGCACAAAGGATTTAGAGTGCTTTCAAATAGCTTGAGACAGAATATTTAATCCATCATCTCAAAACTGCAGCCACCAAAGTCTGCAGATTTTGCATACCCAAACTATGTTGACTTTCAAAGTCTTCTTAACTGACAGTGCTAAATAATATCTCCAACAGTGGCAACACGATTAAATTTGTGGAGAAGTAGTCCAGTGGGTAGGAGTTTGGTCCCCTGGTGATTTTGTTAGTTTCCCATACAACAATGATAACATATATCTGTGCTATTCAAAGAAACAAATACATACGCTAGATAGAAATCAAGTTTGCTTTGCGGATGAGTAACTGGACATGAAACGGTCAGATTTAAACCTTCAATTTTTGAGCCTAGCTGATTGTCAAGTTGTTACTTTCCAGCAAAAAAAGGAAACAGTTTAATTTTTGGAACAATAATTAAAATACAAAATCATCAGCGAGCTTTTAATTGACCAATATATTCAATGTTTCCGTTATTAATATGGCAGTTTTTTCAAACATTCATTAAACAATACCTTTTGTCATAGTAATAGATTTGAAATGCATTAAAATACTAAGTCAAAATGGTAAACCACAAATTGAAAAGTGGTAATAAGTACAAAATGGAAGGAAGTAGAAAGAAACATGGCAGTGTTTGAGCTGATCCTCATCGTTGCAGTCCTTATCAGTTAAAGAAGACAGGCGTCGTCATCAGAACAATCAAATAATCGTTTTTCACCTCACCCAAGTTACAAGGTTCATTCATGCTAGAATAAAATCTTGCTTGTCATAAGGATTGAAATAAACTTTAAAAATACAGGGAAATACATAATAAATAGTATCAGTTTTTGATGTCTTACTTTTTTGAGGCAACATCAAAAGCATTTTACAAATTAAACTAGGTAGGATAGGAAAGGGTCAAGACCAAAGCGCTGTTTTGACTTTGAATAGAATAGTTGATGCAACAAATCTCATACTGATTGAAACTGGCAAGAGTTACATTACAGAAATCTGTAAGTTTTATCAGTTTCTGGAAATGTTTGACTGCACCCTTTCCTTTACATTGCACAAAATATTTTAAATCCCAGCTGCACATTATGATTTATCTTACCAAACAAATTTTATCATTTGGTCTTAATTAATCATAGCACAATAGTATGCCATGTACATCAAGGGTTTCATTTTATAGAATAAAGACTACATCAAGATGACGAAAACGAATTCTGAAACCCATGGGTAGTCTGTTTGGTCGATGTACAAGATGGCGCAGCTGGGAGGCAAAATGTCACACATTCAACGAGAAGCAGTCACTGCTCTCGTTGGCTAAATCTCATACTTTTTCTTTCTTGCTTTGCTGAAAATCATCTTTGGAGTTGTAGAGCTTCAGCATATGAAGAGCATCCTGAGCCTCACGGCGCTCGGCCAGGAAGCGCCCGCTTGCCTGCTGCAACTGCTCCACGAAGGTCCTGCAGACAGAGCAAGCTTAAGCATTTAATTATCACACAATTTATTGTTTTCAGGTAGCTAAAACGTTAATTTGGGAAAGTGTTGTGTTTAAAAAAGTCAATGCTAACCTGTCAATATCAGACAAACTTTCTGGATCCATGTCTGTCAACATCTCAAGCTCCTTCCCACCTAACATTGTGATGTATGACATATCTGAGTGTAGTCTCTCCACCAGCTGCCTTGCTTGGCCACATCTGCCATCTGTCTCATCCATGATTATGCAGCCGCTAAAAATTAATCAATATGATTTATACCACTTGTCAAGCAAAAAAATCAGGCACATTAATTTTTTTACAGTCAGATTATTTACCGTGGTTTCCCGTGCATTAACCACCTTTGAGAGTCAATAAGCAGCATCAGAACAGTGTTACTCTCCAATGTATCAAAGTATTCTTCATCATCAACTTCTGTTCCATCCATATCAAGTACAATTTTCACAACAGCATTCTGATCTACTTCCAGCTTTTCACAGGCTGCAAAGAAAATATGATTATTAGCACAAACAAAATTCATTAAACTCAATGTGAATAAATTTATTCATGAAGAAAGTTACCCTTGGACACCAGTTCTTCCAAACTACCAGCAACAATGCCAAACTTCTTCTCCCTGGTGTAGTCGACAATTTTGAATGGCAGTCTGCCAGGTGTGTCTTGGTCCGACATTCTGATCCTAAACAAAACAACAAGCCAGGAAAATTAATATAGGAAAACACAAAGGGTTCCACAAAATTATAAGATCTGGATTCAGGAATGAATTTGTCGATCAACTGCACAATTTGTGGTTTTGGCTTGCTTTTCGAGATGCATAGCGGCAACCTACATAAAAGTGGGCCGCAGTGGGGTGCACCTCCCTGGTGGTCCCTGGTCCTGTCTACTCTCAACCATGCATATCAGTGAGGAGAGGAGAGCAAACAAAGACCAAACAAAACTCACCTCAAACGCAAATATTTGCTAAAATGCAAAGATATCTTGTCACCCCTTGTAAGAGTAGAAAGGGGACTTCCACCACACTCACGCCAGCATCCCCACCTCAGTTGTGGCAGGTCATTGGGCCAGGACAGCTATTGAGGTCACAACCCAGATCACACCACACCCTGGACCACCCTCATCCCCGGGTCGCATCCCTGCCCCTGGCCGCCTGGGCGCCGCGTAGCGCCGTGCCCCAGGCAGCCTCCCCCTGGAAAATCAATAGCTCCATGCCAAGTGCAGCCAGCGCGACCCAGTGCGACCCAGTTCTAGGGAGGGGCCAGGGCATGGCCATGGCAACCGGGGAATCGGGTCACAGATCTAGGACGACGGCACATTTGGCAAAAGCACGCCCCCGCACCTGCCGCCTGCCACGCGCGTGCGTCCGCCGCCGAGAGAGGTGTGCGCGGCCGAGCCTGCGCCAGCTGCACGCGCGTGACAAAGGTTATGACCAGCAGAAAGCGGCAGAGGAGAGGCGGCGTGGACGCCGTGCACGGCGAGAGGCTCGGGGAAGTCCCTGAACGCCTCGGCGTCGACGTGACGGGGACGTCGCTGTCTAGAGCAAGCAGGGGCGGTCCCAGAGCGGCAGGCGGGGGGCGGACAAAGAAGCCCCGCGACTCAAGCCTGCCATAACCTCACCCTCCGCACGACACCGCGCTCGTCGCGCTGCGCCGCGGCGGCGGGAACGGCCGCCACTCGGTAGCTCACACAGCCGAGGCGCCACAACAGCCGCCGAACACATACACGGGCCTCCTTACCTGTCTCAGGGCGCCTGCTGTCGAAACAAGCTGCTGGAGGGCTGCGCGCTCCAAGCCAAACACGCAGCAGACGACGCGGCGCGCTGTTGCCTCGTCGGTTGACAGGGACGTACTGTACTGCGGGTTGCCGCCCCGCGCTCCGCCAGGCGCGCCAGGCTGCGCGGCGCGCCGCCGCCAGACGGGGCTGGCAGCCAGCGAACGTGGTGGGGGTGGGGCTGCGTGCGAAGGGGTTCTGTCTGGCTCTGGCTCTCCCTCTCTGCCCCTTGCAAGGGGCGGCGAGCGGCCGCGGGGAACGCGCCGATTCGAACACACCCGAACCGTGGGAAAGGAGGCAAGGGGGGCGTAAATTGGATGCAACTGGAGCAGCAACTTGGGGCCGAATTCACACGTCTGCGCGGCGGTCGGGCCCCGTAGGGCCCCGGGGCAGAGTCCCACCAGACCAGTGGCGTGGCAGAGGTGGAGCCAAGGAGCCGTAAAGGGGTGAGATGCCCAAGCGGTTTCAAAGAGGCCTTTCGTCGCTTTGTCCCTCTCGCACCCCTACCGCACGCGCCATGCGTGAGTGCGAGAGAGACGGCGACGAGACGACCCTTCGGAGTCGGTCCGCAGCGGCCGCCGCCGTTTGTTTGGAAGTTAGGCCTAGCCGGCGGGGGCGAGGCGGCGCCCCCTGGAGAGAGGGTCACGGCCCTGGGTACGGCCACGCCCCGGCCAACGCCCCAGCTTCACCTCTCCCCTACCCTACGCCACCGGCCGGGCCGCTGCGCCGCTGCGCCCCGGAGCTCGTAAGGTTGTTCCAAGGTTGTTCGTCGCTCTGCCTCTCTCGCACTCGTGGCGCGTCCCGTCTGGACCGAAGGGGAGGGGATTACTGGGGCGTGTCGTCCTCCCCCCCCCCCCCCTGGAGGCGGCGAAGGTTGCCGAAGCGCCCCAAAGGTAGGCAACAAGTCACACGTTGCCCTTGTACACGGGCGGCGACATCGCCCTCTCCCTTTCTGAACCCCTCTCTGGATCCGCCCTTGCGTATGGGGTGCGAGAGAGAGAGAGAGAGAGAGAGAGAGAGAGAGAGAGAGAGAGAGAGAGAGAGAGAGAGAGAGAGAGAGAGAGAGAGAGAGAGAGAGAGAGAGAGAGAGAGAGAGAGAGAGAGAGCGACGAACGGCGCCTTGTCGCCCCGTCTCCCGGTGGAAGGCCCCACGAGTGCGAGAGAGACAGCGTGCAGAGCCCGGCCGCGCAATTAATGTCACCGCGCGCGTCGGATCGTCATTTACGGCCGAGCTTCACTTGCCGTACAACTATGTTTACCATGTCATTGACATTCGTAAAACGCGGCGGAGCGCTGGACGCGGCGCAGCGCAGCGAGGGCCTGGCGGGGCGGCGGCTCAAGGAGGACCGTCCTCTACGGTCTTCTAGCAACCTATAAATTTATGGCAACGCTGGCGCCCCTCCCCTCCCAGCATTCCCCTGCTCCTGCCTCCATTCCATGGCGAAGGCAGGTTCACGCGTGCTCAAAAAAAAAATTGACACGGATTCGTTCTGCGTGTGTCTGTGACATGGGAGGGACGCACCGATTTCCGTTCAAGCCGAGGAAACCGACATGAACCTTGTTGTGAGTGTACCACGACCGCGCCCATCCCATGCAGTTACGGCCGCTTGGCGCTTGCCTGTGCTTTACTTGCCGCTTGCACCGCTTGCGCCGCTTTGCGCCGCTTTTGCGCCGCTTTGCGCCGCTTTGCGCCGCTTTTGCGCCGCTTTTGCGCCGCTTTTACGCCGCTTTGCGCCGCATTGCGCCGCTTTGCGCCGCTTTGCATCGCTTTGCGCCGCTTTGCGCCACTTTGAGCCGCTTTGCGCCGCTTTGCGCCGCTTTGCGCCGCCTTGCGCCGCTTTGCGCCGCCTTGCGCCGCTTTGCACCGCTTTGCGCCGCTTTGCGCCGCTTTGCGCCGCTTTGCGCCGCTTGCGCCGCTTGCCGCTCGCGGCTACAGGACGGGTGAGGTGCGACGCTGCATAATGATGCGCTTGTCAGCGTGTTACGGGTACAGGCACACCCATAACGCTCAGAGCAGAGAGCAGCAGCCCGTGCAGCACGGCCGCGTTATTCGGAGCCCGGCTCGAGGCGCTGCTCCGGTGTGGTGAGGGCCGGGGAGGGGGATTTGAGATGATAGTAGTACCCCCCTCGGCGGCGTCCAGGAGGGGGCAACTGTTATCATGCCCCCCCCCCCCCCGGGCGCACATTCTCGCCCATGATTACGGCGCCCGACGGCACGCGTCCCTGAGGACGCCGAGGACGTCCCCGGGAAGTTGTCGCGACGCTAGACCGCGCCGCCGCGTGCCGTACACGTCCAGGTACACCTTCGCCTCCCGCGGAGCACCGCGCTCATGAATTACACATGGCACGCCGCAGACTGATTCCGAGAGTCGTTTTCGTCGCTCGGTCTCTCTCGCGTCTGTACAGAGCGCCCCATGAGTGCGAGAGAGACCGAGCGAAGAAAAACGACTCTCGGAATCAGTCTGCTGCTCGTACCGGCCGCTGAGTCACCCAGCGTCACCGCGCAAGCGACGCAAGCGTAGCACTCACTCTTCTCCAGCCCGACCAGCCCGTAGTGGTAATGGTACAGGCGCCGTGGCGATGGGCCGTCCCGTCGCGCTCCGCCGCGCGTGGGGCTGCCTACCCAGCATCACCATTACCATTAAAGGCTGGACCACACATGATCGTACGTATGCCGTTTCGGGCCCGACACAAGCTCGCCTGCACTGCAAAACGAGAAGCGGCCGTCCTTACTAGGGTGACACGTTGCCGAGCGGCACAGAGGTGCGAATCAACGATTTGCCGTTTCGGGCTCGCCAACTGCCATGCTCGCACTGCACAACGTGACAGACCGTCCGTAGAAAGAATAGTACCAACTCTCGGCAGCCGGGGCACTAATCCGCACCGCACCAATTGCAGTGGACTGAGGGACGTTCTTGAGGCTCTCGCAGGTATAACCGAAGCCCAAGAGTGTGAGAAAGACAGATCGCCGAAAACGATCTCGGATCGAACTCTGTCTGCCGCGTGACTGTCTGCCAATGACTAATCGTGTCGCGGTGCACTGTAACAGCAATCTCTCCACTGTCGCACAAAGTGTCTCCCTAAAGTTACAGCGGGGTCGTTCAATCTATCTTTTTGCCGTCTCGCTGAAAATGGTTGAAACGGGAAGTGAGAGGCCGGCGAGGGGGCAACAGCTTCCCACATTCATTGTACAAAATGGCCACCACATTCAGGTGGCAAAAACGCCTGTAAGTAGGCAACATGTGTGGCAAAAACGCCAGAAATATGGCACATTCTAGCACATTCGCACACAATCATTGTACACAAAATTTTACAGTGGGTCAACCCTCGGAGGCCGGGCTTGGGCGCCACGGAGACAAAGACGGGTGTCGCTGCTACCGAGACACTGCTTCGTCGGTGCGTCTCTCTCGCACCCCTGCGGACTGGCCTCTGCGTGCAACGGAGACGGATAGTGACGGAGCACTGTTCGGAATCAGCCTGCAGTCGTTTTCGTCGCTCTGTCTCTCTCGCACTCATGGGGCCTCCCGCAAAGGTGCGAGAGAGACAGAGCGACGAAAACGACTCTCGGCCTGCCGTCTGATTCCGAACACTGCTTCGTCGCTCTGTCTCTCTCGCACCCCCACGGACCGCCCCATGAGTGCGAGAGAGACAGAGCGACTCAAACGACTCTCGGTCTGGTGCCGCGCCCCGCGCCGCGCTGGCTGCAGTCGCAGTAGCGAATGCAACGGAATGGCCCATTGTCTCTGTCAGTCACCCTCTTTTCCTAACGAGCAGCGAGCAGCGCAAACAGCGCCGCAGCGCCAGGGCGGCATGGCGCCTGAAAAATGGTGGCGGTACTTGTGCATCACCATTCGCGGAACGCTTAGCGCCCTGCCGTGCCGTGCCGCGCCGTGGCGTGCCGTGCCGCGCCGCGCACTCTACAAAAAATGTCCTGTCAACGCCGTTAATTTATTACCAATGTTTGCTGTTTTGCAATTCACGGCGTTTGCTGTGAACTAGTTCACGGCGTTCACTGTGATCTCGGTTACAGTGTTCACTGTGATCTGGCCACAGTAAACGCCGTGAATTGGAGCCTGATTTGCAGTACTTCGGTGCTTAGCGGCGTCAAACTCACAGTGTTTACTGGGGACCAGATCACAGTGAACACCGCGAACAAGATCACAGTGAATCCCGTGAGCAGATCACAGTAAACGCTGTGAATTGACCTACAGTGAAAACTGGTAATAAATTAACGGCATTTACAGGACATTTTTGGTAGAGTGCGCCGTGCCCTTCCGCGCCGTGCCGTGCCGTGCCGTTCCAGAGTTGCAGTGCAGTGCAGGGCCGGAACGGGGAGCGCGGGGCCTCCGCGGCGCGACACGCCGTCACGGGGAGCACTGCCGAGGCACTGCAGGCAAGACGATCGGCGTGTAAGTACACAGCGACGCGTAATTTGAC